GCCTCGGTTTAGGCTTGGAAGCGCCGATCAAGGCTTACCTGGGTAACTCGTCTGTAGGTCAGCTTTCCCCGCGTCCTACTCGTACTGTCCTGTATGCTACTAAATTATAAAGGATCGGTGGTTGGCCTAGACGCAGTCTTAAATGGAGCTTTGAATTGTATAATCAACAAGGATTTAACGTATTTCACCACCGAGCCGGCCACACCGAGACGGCCACCGTAAAACACATAGTGAATGCGATAAATAAATTACAACTTAATATCTCAACAACTACGGTCTATAGGGACTTCTCCTTATAGCCTTCTACTTTCTAGGTGATATCTAGTCTCTTTAGGGAGTTTAAAGAAATTTCACAACTTTATGATTCCGATATATATAATTCTAGCTTTCCTTGGCGTAATTTTCGGTAATTTTCGAAATCATAATAATATAGCCTTCTACTCTCTTTGAAATTGATATATGGTGCTGATGAGTTTTATCGATGGCTATCGACAAATAAGGAGCTAAAATAAAAACATGGTTGTTGAGATATAAATGTTGAATATATCGCATTTACTATATGTTTTGCGGTGGCCGGCTCGGTGGTGGTGAAATACGTTAAAATTTGCCTCAAATCACATTCAAAACAATGACGCTCAAAACAATGACGCGCTGCAGGTTACGCCCACACTCGGGCCTTAATGTACATATCGACCGAGCTGCTTATCTTTCCTAAGGTTAGTCCTTATATTTAGTCCTAAAATATAGTCCTAAATGTTGAGCTCTCACTTTTATTCATGTCTACTATTTATCCCCATTGGCCCCGAGAAGCTTTTTTTTTACGTAGCTTCCAACTTTGGAGGGTTGAGAGTTAGTTTGAGCTCACATCCTCCGTATCCCCCCTGACTTTGCTTTACTTTCTATTAAACCGCTGCATTACCATTACACCCGGGACAACAATCGCCGCGTCGTTAGCTCTAGGGCTTCCTGCAATCATGGGTCTTGGGGTACTGGAAGATACGAAGCTCGTGCATGTCCCAGGTAATATTCCCCTAGCCTTGACCGTCCAGGCGCAATCGACTCCAGCGTGTCTCATCACAACTTCAAATATCTAGGCACCTCCGATATCTACGAACAAAACAGCGATGCGAGCGACCAGACCCCAGGCGCTTCAGGCCTCAAACATGACTGGTCAGGTAACCAACCGGTTATCCTCGTCCCGCAACCGAGCGATGATCCCAACGACCCATTGGTATGTTCCAGAGAGCCACCATACCCCAAGATTTGGTTCCACGAGCACACGGGCGCTGACCCAAACGGTCCCATCAGAACTGGCCATTATGGCGACGAGATATGATCCTTGCCATCCTTTCCTTCGTAACCATCCTCTGCACAACCCTAAGCTCCATTCTAGCCGCAAATACGGTCACCATCGCAGATTACGAGGAAATTACGTTTACAGCAGCTGCGCTGTTGACTGGATATCACCTGTGTGGTGTCGGCGTGGCGGGCATTCTCATTGTGCCAACCGCTCGAGTCTGGGGTAAACGTCATCTGTTCCTTATTGGGCATGTCTTGATGATTATCAGCTGTATCTGGGCTGGAGTTAGCGGAAAAAATGATAATAGTCTCATATGGGCACGGATATTTCAGGGTGTTGCACTCGCGCCGTTTGAGGCATTGGTCAATGCCTGTGTTGGAGATCTTTATTTCGTTCATGTGGGTTGAGTCTTCTTTTTCTTGTAATTTAAGTTATGAGGAGACTGATGGAGAAAATATAGGAACGAGGAAAGCGAATGGCTGTATCCAATGTTGCACTCTTTGGTGCGGCCTTTCTGACACCCGTTGTGGTGGGCAAGATCACCAAGTCCATGGGATGGCAATGGTCTTTTTACTTTGTGGCAATTTTCCTCGGTGCTTCATTGCCACCGATGTTCTTTTTCGTGCCTGAAACCGCTTTCCGGCGCTCTGATTATTTGAATACTGACTTCAAGCGAAGCGGCGGGCATGGCGAGTCCATGGAGTCTCATGTTTCGCTCAGTGGAGCTTCCACTGATGATACTAAGGAAGTTCGGCCGGGCCCCAATGGTCTGAACGGAAGCTCAAAGGTCGAAGCCGCAGTAACAGTCCCTGAGAAACATTCCTTCGCGCAGTCGCTTAGGCTTTTCAATGGACGAAAGACAGATGAGAGTTTCTTTAAGCTGCTCCTTCGTCCATTTCCGTTGTTCTTCCATCCGGGAATCTTCTGGGTAAGCAACTCACTTCGCGTTTAGTTTCACACACTGATTAAATTCCAGGCCTGTCTGATCCAAGGCGTTGTCATTGGATGGGCGGTCTTCGTAGGTGTGGTTCTAGCAATTGTGTTTCTCGGACCTCCAATGTGGTTCGAAGAAGACAAGACCGGATATCTTTACACAGGTGCCTTCATCGGTTCCATTTTGGGTCTCATTCTTTCTGGTCTGCTTTCTGATTCCATTAACAAGTTGATGATTCGGCTCAACCACGGCAAATATGAGCCTGAATTCCGGATCCTCTTGGTGATCCCTCAGCTCATTTGCTGCGGCATCGGACTCTACGGGTTCGGATGGACTGCAGATAATGTGATGCACTATGGCTGGCTGCTACCGGACGTCTTCTTTGCATTCTTGATCGTCGGCATGGTGATGGGAGCCGTTGCTGCTTCACTCTATATCGTCGATGCCCATCGTATGTGGACAACCAGGCTTTATAGGGAAGTGATTGCTGACAGTACTAGGTGAGATGGCCATTGAGGCATTTACCTGCATGCTGGTTTTCAAAAACATGTTCAGCTTTGTCCTGACATTTTTCGCCTATAAATGGTTCGCCCACGGAGGCATCAAACACACCATGATTATCATCGGTAGTATCCAAGTGGGCATCTGTCTGTTGAGCATTCCCATGTGTAAGTTTTACCAAGTGTGCGGTACTGATCTGAATTTCTTTCACCTAACTAACCATTTCCCCGGTGCAGATGTCTTTGGGAAATGGAACCGGTCTTTCTTTGCACGTCATGACATCCTCGAGGCACTTCATCTCCGTTAATTTACTAGTAACATCGCAATTATTCAGTAGTTTAAGCAGTGGATATTTATGATCTTACGTGACATGAGTGATAGAGCAAACATTTACTATGAGACTTTCCATCTTTTTATGTACTGCGACAACAAAACTGGTTCAATCAAAGAATTCACACATCCTAGGCTCGCTATGCGACAATTAATTTGCTCCCTTAATTTGAAATGTACTGTTAGGAATGTTCTAAAGCCCATGTTGAATCCTCTCTGTCCGCACAACGAACTACTTCCAGACATTTCGGCCAAGGCTCCCAGGGCCCCAGCAACCGCGCTACAATTTTGCAGGACATTCTTGAATTACGCACCGCCTTCAACCTACTCAAGCGAGGCAATGAGAGTATTCAAGCGAGTGTTGCCTCCAATTCGACCGCGTGGACTACCCTCGATACCACTGCTTCCGCCCTCGTTGCTCAACAAGGCCGTATCCTACGCAGAGACTTACAGCGCGCCGCCCAGCAGGGAAGATCCCAGGGCTGGACCGTACAGACCAGCTTGGCCACCGTGAACAATCTACAGGAGGAGACTGAGGCTATTCTTACCCGTATGGAGTATCACATTCGGCAGTTCTACCGGTAGTCACCTTGGACTTACAGCGCGTCGCCAGACCAGCTTGACTACTGTGAAAAAACTACATGAGGAAATTGAGGAGGTTTACCGCGTTTTATGTTTTCATTTTCTATTCTTAGAGGGTTTCTGGCGTCTGCCAGTGTAAATGGAGCCCCATGGCTAAAACGCAATGAAACATATTCTTTACTAAGCACAATATAAGCGATAAGTAGAAGTGTAAAGTATAGTAAAGGAGGTATATGGCATTGAGAATTGTCGCTTGGGGGTTATACTGGAGCTATAGGTCGTCATATTCTTCGATACCATGACCAAGCTTATCACCGGTCCCCTCTCCGTCTCCAGCGTCGGCATGAACCACATGCTTGTTCTATATGATTCCTTGTCAGTAAATGTTGATAGGCGTTATTAACAGCATATATCACTTTCAAATAAATCAAGGTGCTATATTTTATATCATCATTTAAAAATCACCAAAAATTACTTCATTATAAGCTAGAAATATAGAGTTATATCTGAATGAGTGACAGACATAAATTCCATAAACTGCTTAAAGAGGCTAGTTATATATTACCTAAATAGTATTAAGATACAAGGAATGGACCTTATAGACTATCTTTGTTGAGATATAAGGCTGTAATATATCGCGTCTACTATGTGTTTTGGAGATGGCGGCTTGCTCGTGAAATACGTCAGTTATCCAGCGGAGCTCTAACACGCCCTCGAGTGTTTCTTGAATTTCCGTTCGCCTCCGTTTGCTCTGTGTGTTTATACCTGATCATATCTTGATGAGAAGCAGCATTCATCAATTAGGCAGTTTGGCGGAGTGGTCTAACGCGCTAGACTTGAATATCCCCATTCATGTTATCTAGTCCTTTCGAGGGCGCAGGTTCGAACCCTGCAACTGTCGATTTCTTTTTTTGCGCTCTTTCCACTTATCCACCGCCTCCTTATCCTGGAACGTCCACAATTCTGCCACTCCTGTTTTGGGGGGAGGGCAAGCCTGTTCCGGAGCATCTCTAAAAATGATTCGCCCCTCGCCTTAGTACCGGGCAGATGTGCAGAGTACATCATCATCATCATCACCTCGGTAGAGTACAGACGATTCCGGTCGTCGTACTCATCGACTGACTCATCCGGCTTGAAAAGCTTCAAATATGAGCTGCGGTATTTCAGCACGTTCATGAGATGATGGTTCACCCGCCACATCCCGGTCGCCATGGATCAAGCACAGCTTGACAGTCCTATTGTCTTCATACAAGCGACCAAGAAGCCAGGGTACAACTTTATCTAAAGTCAATTCCCTAGCGTCATCGAGTTTCTTCCAGTGCCCGCTTGCCTGGATGTGGAGATTGTACACCCCTAGTAGCTTGCCATAAAAGGGGACCTAGTTGCTATCCCGTCATGGACAGTGACATGGAAGCCAACCTGGCCCGTGGAAGAAACGCTGGTGCGGTGAAGCTCAGAAATAACTTCCGCCAGCTTCGCTTCGTCGGGCGTGCGATGATCAATCTCATAATCGCAGGTAAAGAAGTGGTCGTCGGAATCCAAGCACTTCCTGTATCCCCTTAGCACAGGGACGATGGGAGACATAGCCTTGTACAGCTCAGACATACACAAAAACGCTCCTAATATGCGTGGCCCTGCGAGGTCTCCGCTAACAATCTACGAACTCATGTCAATGAAATCGGCCCGACGACTCCATTTGTAGCTCATGCGCATTTGCTTTCACGAAGTAATTATGTAGCGTGCTATTTCTGTCCTTGGACGTGATTCTCGCGGTGGACGCCCATTGGGAATTGTCATTTCGTTTTGTGAATACTGTTTCCTGCCCCTGGGGAGCTTTAAAGCTGCTGGTCAAGCAATCACACCATTTCAGCAGACGGGCTGATATCCGAACCATTGATCACGGTGGTGCCTAGGATAAAGGCAGGGGATCGTTTCTACACTCCCGGGGCCAGTCGGTGTCAAACTCATCTTAATACTTGTAGAATGGGAAAATAGGAACTGAGACAACCCGGGTGGTGTGAACTCTACTATTTAAACCCCAGGAATAACCTGAAACCATGTATCTCATTCCATGAACCGCATGCTGATCTCTTTGATCGGATTGAAGTTGAGGGCTTTGAAAGAAGAGAGCGCCCTGCAGCAGCCAGACACAACAATAGAATATAGTGATGCACTAATTTATCAGCTCCTTTGTGTAGGCGCCCGACTGGTGAGCAGACGGAGGCTTGTATTAGTCGAAGTACCATCTTGTGCCCGCATCTACAGGGGTCCAGTGATAGCCACTACATAGTACTAGTCTCAGACTCCATCCCACCTAAAATTGCCTATACCGCCGAATTTATGCACTAAACATTTCTAAGCCGCGAGAGTTCTACTCTGGGGCTACCTAGGATTCTAGTTATTGCAAGTCTACTTTCGAGTGCATCAACCCCCATGAGACTTAGCCCCAGAATTAGATCTATACGTAAAATATATACATCGGAATACTACATGGGTAATATCTATGGGGACTTCATGACCTTTCAACTCTCTGCGTTAATCTAGATCACTCCAAAAAAATGCAGCTATATAGTGATGAAATCGAAGATCTTGGCTATGGTGCCTTATTGTTTAGGCTCTCAAGGATGCGATGTACATTGCCCGACCACTACCTTAGTGTGAGTGTTATCGTCACTGTTCGAATCTTGCAACGTGGAGGATCGGCATATATATAGTGTAGATCCATGTAGATTGATGTAGATCAGGGTTCAATCAGAAAATCCTGTGAGTCCTCACGTCACCACCGAAAAATGGGCCTCCGCTTGTTCAAATGCGGAATCTTCACTCCACTTTGATCCTTCACTAGCGCCCATGGAGTCCTTGAGTAGCTCCGGGATAGATCGATCTTCCCCATAAAAAATCTCAAAATCCCCCCAAATTCCCCCAAGCGATGATGCAATGGCGTCCCAATCGACGTCACGGGGATGAAAGAAGCTTTCCGGACTTCCATTCCATATCCACCTCATTTTATAGTTTTGTTCTCTGCTATCCCTCTTTTTTTTTTTTTTTTTTCCCCATGACTTCTTCTGTTTTATCCGAATTTGCGAATTTGTTGCAGTTCCTGAATTATGGCAACTGTGCAAGTGACTCGCCAGTCCCGGCTAGCAGATGATGGTAAGATGATCGTGCATCCTATAGTTCTCTGGTCGGATCGCTAACCTCACGTGAAATAGCCGCGACTGCTGCCCTTTTTGTGACACATCCTAAACGTAGGGCATCTCTGCGCGATCCGACTGCAACCAACACCCAGCACTTCAGTGAGTAGCAACCCTTGATCCGATAGGCGAAGACACCCTAAGCTGACAATGCGCCGTGCGGCAGACCCACGCACGGTGGGCGATACTCCAAACCTCAGCCACGCCTCCGCTGCCTCGGCCCTCGCACACGCGAATCGCAAACCTGTCGAAGTATGGCGGCCCCCAACTAGACAGCCTGTCGCCGAGAAGGCCGCACTATGTGTGAAGGACTACGCCCCACCCCAGCAACCCCAACCCACAACTCAGCACAGCGCAGAGGGACTGGGAGCTGCAATGCTCGCTGTTCGTGAACAGAGAGCATCGGTCTGTCAGGGCCCTACGTCCGCTGGCCATAGGCGTGGCAGCTCAGCAACCGATCGTTACTACCCTACAGCCGTCGGTGGAAACCCGAAGGACAAGGCGCTCCAGGCTGCATCGGGCGCTTACACGCTCTCGCGTAAAAGAGCCGACTCTGCACCCAGTGACCCGGGAGTTACCTCCGAATTACCATATGGCCGTTCAGCCGCTGGCGCATCGCGACATGCTCGCGTGGAAGATGAGGGCCCCCTTGAACACTTGGACCCTGCTATGGAAGCAAGCCGGATTAAATATGCCGCTAAAACTAACCCAAAGCTGTATACTTCATTGCCACCTATCCAAAGCGAAATTGAGGAACAAAACTACAAGAACTCGCAACGCGCTGCTGCCATCTCCATGGCAAAGGACATGTACAGAGTCACCGGTACCAAACAGCAAGCCGGCCAATCTCCCGCCGTCTTAGCAGCCCAAAAGGGACAGAGTCAACTAGGTTACCGCAAGACCGTATCCACCGCGGATGGTGCTGCCGTCCGGCGTGCGATCGCCCTACAAGAAGCAGCGCAGAAGCGAGCCGCCGAGAAGCTGGCTCTTATGCGGGATGAGAATGCAGACTACCAGCAATACTACGGCACCGCGCCTCAACCACAACGGTCGCGCTTGACTACCCGTCGTAAGAGAACTTCGAGCGATGCGGAGGCCTCTCAGACCGACGCAGAGCAGTCGCGACAGATCCGGAGCCAGATGACCAGCCTGCAGAGCAAGTTGGACCAAGTAGATGTGCGAAAGACGAAGGATCGTGAACTGCTTATGCAGGCTGCCCGCCGCAATGTGAACCAAACCCTGCAGGACATGGAGGCACAAGTTTACGCGGACACCGGTCGTGCTCCGCCTTCCGTGCAGAAGGGGTGGGATGAGGTTGCCCAGGAACGCGTGCGACGGGAGGCAGAGGACTTCGAAGCCACTACCGCCCAAGGGAATCGAGTGAACATTGGCGGCCAAAAGTATATGGACATGGCCGACATCGACGCTGTCGCTCGCTCCCGCCTCCAGCCTGCTTTCAATGAGATTACTGAGAATGCCGAGCTACGGAGAGCCCATGATATCGAAGCTCGTCTGGACGCTGAGGAGGAGCAGAGACATGCTGCTGTGGAGCGTCAACGCGAAGCTGATGTGAAAGAGTTGGAGAAGCAGGAAAAAGGTTAGTTGCCCTGTCTTTCCCTCTTTGGGGATATCCTCTAATCAATGAATTAGGTGCCAGCAAACGCGACAGCAAATCCGAGGGCAAGCTTCCCAAATTCTTGTTGTGGAGGAAAAAGGGCAAACGAGCTCGAGTTGAGGAATCCCAGCCCGACGAGACTCAAGCCGTCTCGCCTGTTAGCCAAGGAGCTATAGTAGAGCCGGCTCCGACTACACCCGTGTACAACCATGCCTCGACGGACACTATCCCCGACCAAGATTCTATTGGAGCAGAGAACAATGTCTCGACGGTCAGCATCCCCGGTGAAGCTTCTACTGTGACAGAGACAGCCGGCCCCGCAACGGGTGTTGCATCCGTCTCCTCGGCCCCAGAGACTGAACCTGCAAAGCCCGAGGAAAACGACGTCCCCGCGGCAATCCCACGGCGACCAACCCGAAGCCAGACCGAGCCTCCCCAGATCGAGCAGCGAGATTTAGCCGCCTCAGACCCAACAATTGTGCACTACTTCACGCCACCAGTCACAAGCCCCCGCGCCGACACCAAGCTCAAGAACTGGTTCCGTGATCGCCTCGTTCGCCGCTCCAGTGGCCCAGTCCCCGTCTACCCTCACCAGCCAGGCCCGGACTTCAACGCAGACAACGAACCCTCCTTTCAAGGCGGTGTCTCTCTAACCGGCCGCGACGAGCCCCGTGGCGCAGCACTTGGTTCACACCCTCTCGTGGCTGAACCTATCCCCATTCACAACAGATCTTCGAGCTACTACAGCAATGACTTGGATGTGGCCAAGATTAACAGTGCCGAGTCTTTGCCGAACTCTACCAGGCAAAATCACAATGGCAAGAAGAGGAACCGTCTGAGCAGGACATTCTTCAAGGCTGTCTCCCGTAGCCCTGACGGGTCGAACGATGGTGACTCCCGTCGTGACTCGGGGGTTCAATCTTCGTCTAAGGGTATCGGCGGAGGTAATATCCAGAGTCTACAGGATAGTACTATTGGGCAGAGTCTTCCTGGCGGGAAAAGAGAATCGAGATTCTCCGAGAATCTGTGATTCTTATGTGGAATGTTGATGTGTATGTCTATTTGAAACGTTGACTTGATGTACGATTTTGTTCTCTTTGGATTCTTTGGATCTTATGGGTTATTTACTGGCGCTTTTGGAACCTGAAATGGGTGGTCTGGGGGATATTGGGTTCAGGGTTGTTTACTTTGCTAGTAATTTTCGGTGCTTCGTATATAATCAATCTAATTAAAGATATTTCTATGAACCCCTAGCAACAGTTATCATATCTGAACATGTCTTTCAAGATGAGAAATAACTCACATAAGCGTATTGCTCATAGCCTTGTCTCCTAATGCCTCACCCCCACCCAAATCAATAACTACCTCCACCTCAAACCCATGCCCCTGTCCCTTCGCAGACTCCAGCGACACATCCACCCCCAAAGCCTCTAAATCCCTAGACACAGCAACACTCTGATCAAATCCAACTAACTCATCCACATTGGGTATCCAGCGTACTCTGTATATCATGCACAAGTCCTTTGGCTCCCTATGGCATCCTCTAATCTTTCACGTCTCTTGGTATTAAAATGCTGTAGATGTTGGGTTATAGTCTCACAGATTGATAAATATAGAAGAATGTGTTAGAAGTAATATAGCACTCTACCGCTAGACCATATCAAAATTAAGGTAGTTTTTATGGCATAAGAGGGTTATATTCTTTATAGACCTCCTCCGCTCCCCCACCCTCCCCCCCGATACCGCTTTCTAGATCCGTTACAGCACACGAAGTATTCATCGCAAGTCTAAGAATGACAGATAATACAGATAAAGTCCTACAAAATGTTTACAATTTCTATCTAGCAATTCCCCCTAGGCATACATCTTGCTTAACGAAGGCCTCACTGTATCCAAAGATGTAAAACTACAATGCCTCTTGTCATCTTCAATTCCATCACAATCCCCAGTCCACGATGGCGATGCCACAGTTTCACCCCACATCACCATACCTCCAGTTGCCTGATCTAAAGGCTCGTCTCTAGGCACATGGCATGCAGCACTAATGGCAACACTACATGCCCCCGCTAACGGTATTTCAGACTTGAACCTTCTGAGCGATAGTCCAAGCAACAAACAGACCATGAGCGCACCCACAAGGATTGAAATAAAGATAGCCAGAGGGTTATAACCCAGGGAGCTAACCGAGAATTGGTAGATCGGTCGGCCAATCCAGTCATACGCCATGACCCGAACATAAAATATACTCTGGGAAATCAACCAGTGGAGGACCATATAGATCACCAGTAGGGGAACTCCATACTGATATGGCATGGACAGCCAGTACGTGGACTGCTGCATGGTGTTCTTGATAGGCCATGTCACTCGAATGGGCTTCGGACTTGCCCCGTAGGAGCTGTATTCGGCAGTCGCGAGCATGCTGGTCAGTACGCTGTTGTAGAAGAAATAACTGACGGTGATAATTAGTTGTGGCATATTAGCTATGACCACAGAGCTCAAAGTGGGCAGTGTCCTTTTCAGGTCGACAAATGCAGTGGACCCCCTGGCGCCAGAGAATCCTTCCTTCCACATTTCGTGGAGTGTACTAGTTGTCACCCAGGGACCTCCCCCTCGTGGGGCGAGGGCTTGCTCAAAGAGAAATGCTCCGACAGCAATACATGCGAGGCATCTAGATCATCTGTGGTTAGCGTAAGATCAAGGAAAATATTGGAATGTAAGCTCTTACAAGACGAGGGTCGTTATCCAACGTGGCAGGCTCGCGGCCTGCATCCAGTGCTTGCGTCGCGATAACCGCTTGTATATCATCGGCTCTCGCTGATCCCCTTCCAAAGGCTCCTCAGCAGGGTCCCCTGTCTTCTGAGATACCTTCCATGCTCCACGACGGACATCGGCGTTGGATAACCAGCACATTCCTTCCGTGGTGCGGTCTGGCCGCTCCATAAAGGATGCTACCGCATCACCCACGGTGAGCAAAGGTGGCGATCGATGACGGCCTATTCTTGCTGCCAGAAACATTGCTACAACTTTTAAGAAAGTCGCAAGCGCAATGATAATGCAAATTGGAGGGCTATAGAGCAACTGGCATCGGTCTTTAGGTTTGATCACAAGACATCCGTCCACGCTATAAGTCTTCGATTCATTCATTGATTTGTCCTTGCAAGTAGTGACATACCCACTGGACGTGATGTCAGATGTGGTGTTAGCCTGGATGTATCGATTCACTCTTTCAAGGGTCGGCTGATCCATGTCAAGGCTGGCCCAGTTGAGCACATTGTAGGCATCCGAGCAGGAACTGTCATCCAAAGTGTCAAGGCAGGCATTTTGTGTGAAATTGTCGTTTGTGTAGTAATGAGCTCGACCAGAGTCAAGGATCTTGATCATCAAGGTCTTGCCAGCGAATTCAGACCCCTCCACGTCGTGACTAAAGGTCATATCGGCCTGGGTCAGGCCGCTAATTAGGCTTGTCGAGAGTATCGCAGTGTTTCCACCTTGGCTCACAGACAACGCGTTCGTGAGCATAACGACCACCTTTGCCCCTCCGCTGTTTCCGAAACTGTCAAGACCCATACATTGCTGAGTATTCAGGCGCTCATAATTCCCCCGCGCAATATCAGAGGCAAAGTTTTGCCAGTTCAACTCGCCCTCAGGATACCCATCGCCCACAACATTTGACAAATATGAGTTGCTGATGTCATCGCTGTCAACATTAGCACCCCGATATACAGCAGGATCTCCGCCAGGGAATATTGGTTTTATGCTAAAGCACTGGTCAAGCGCAGGAGTCTTCAAGCTTGCGATGTTGGAAGAATTCAAGTCCCCAGGGCCCACAATAACATGTAACTCGTTTATGGCCACGGATTCAAAAACCATCGAGTTGTATCTGTCAGCCTATGTCAATTTCACAACTCTAGTCTCCTAGACCTCTTCCGACAACATACAACAAATGAAAGGGTGTCGCCGTGACAAGCAGTACCAGCCAGAGAGCGAGCCGGGATCGTCCAATAACAAAGAGATTCCTCACACTCGAGCACCCGATATCAAGCCATCGGCCTTCCGCGTGATATTTGTCAACTTCTTCCCGACTCGGCGCGACCAGTGACTGCATGCAGTAGTTGCTAGCACCCAAGATTCCGGTGCTGAGTGCGTTGATTATCAAGTGTAAGGCGACGTTCCATCGTTTGGACAAGACACAGCTACCCTTGTACATAACTTGAACGCTAGAGAATGCACGGTTCTCTGCGTTTCTACTGGATAGTCCAGCAGCGACGGCAATGAAGATGATATTCAGCAGGAGCAGAGCAGTAGTTGCCTTGGCACAGAGAAGGACGCCATTAATCCAGTATGGCTTCTGGGTTGATGACTCGTGCGCAATGGCCTCCGTTTTGGTATTTCCCTCGATATTTTCCTGTCCTTCTATCTCATTAGACCATTCGGGACTAGTTTTCTCTGTCCGATCGTTGGGAACACCATGGTAGCGTTGGCCAGAGAACACAGATTTGGCGCGATGCCATATATTCCCACTACCCATACTTGCGGTTGTGGTTGTACTCCGTGGGGTAGGGCAGATATGCGCCCTCGACTTGGGATAGGGACAAGTGTGCGCAGAAGTACGGGCAACGTGAGTTAAAGTAATTTTCCGACCCCCAAGTTCTCGAGCAAATGGGGCTGAGTTTAGTTAACAATGTGCCCGTGGATGTGGAAATGATCTTCAGGGCTTGTTTTGGCCCCATCAACGCTATTGGTGCTGATACCCACATGACACTCCCATTTCACAGTGCATAACGACTACTGGGGGGGTTTTTGATCGTATGGGTTTTGCCATCTATCGCTTATTATCTCCTGCTTCGAAGTACAACATATTTTCTATTCTTCAATTGTTATGTCGACCTGATCAAAACGTTTATACAATATTGAGGGTGTCATTTATACAGAGGCAGGATAGCCGGCCGCTCATACGGCGTCCGTACTTAACGATATCGTGTAATCTGAATGTCGAATTGTTTTAGAATGATCACAGATGCTATGGTTACGGTTCCACTGCGATATTTAAATGCCTAGGGTAATCAGTCACAACCTGTTAAATGAGGTGTGAAAGGCACAGTTCCTGCAAACGGGTATTTGATAAATGATATCTAGATTCATGTGTATTTATTCAATTAATTATTATGCTATGGTTCAAGTTTTATATACTCCATACTGCATTTAAGCTAGAAAAGTGTATCAAAGTCTCGTCACCTCTGTCTCGCCATATCTGGTAGCGGACGGTTGAAAAGTGAAGTTAGAGTAGGCTGGAGCATACCGCACCTCCTATTTTGTTAGAATTTACCTGTTAATGTGGTTATATGTGAAAGAGTACTAGAGTCATATTTGTGTTCAAATATCCAAAAGCCCATTCAAATTCAAATGTAAAACCCCTTTCTGCGGTCGAAACCCGGTCATTCCCCCGCATCTTCACGGCCCTGGAAAATTGCCTAATCTGACATCTGATCCCCAAAACATCCACCAATCCGAGCACAGTACGGGGTATCTCTATAGCGAGGACCGAATAACACGCCCATTATAATAAGTCATATTCCAAAATGGGTACCTGTATAGCACCCAAAAATGCGCTTCCTCGCACTTCTCCCGGTCCTCCTTGGACTCATATCCAGCAATTTCGTCTCTGCGACAGATAATGGCAAGACTACTGACGTGACATGGGATAAATATAGCCTCTCCGTGAAAGGGGAAAGGGTATATGTCTTTTCCGGTGAATTCCACTACCAGCGACTCCCTGTGCCGGAGCTATGGCTCGACGTGTTTCAAAAACTACGCGCAAACGGGTTTAATGCAATTTCTAGTGAGTGACTTGACAGAAACTTTTTTTTTAGCATTGATATTCATCTCGATTAGTCTACTTCTTCTGGAGTTTCCACTCCGCTTCTGAGGATACTTTCGACTTCGAGAACGGCGCCCATGACGTCCAGCGCGTCTTCGATTATGCCAAGCAGGCAGGACTATATGTGATCGCGCGCGCGGGACCCTACTGTAATGCCGAGACCTCTGCTGGTGGCTTCGCATTGTGGGCATCCAATGGTCAAATGGGTAGCGCGCGCACGAGCGCAAGCTCCTACCATGACCGATGGTATCCGTGGATCCAGAAGATTGGAAAGATTATCGCCGCAAACCAAATCACAAATGGCGGTCCGGTCATTCTCAATCAGCACGAGAATGAACTGCAGGAGACAACTCATAGTGCTGATAACACTGTTGTCAAGTACATGGAACAAGTCAAAGCTGCCTTCAGTGAAGCTGGCATCGTCGTCCCGAGTACACATAACGAGAAGGGAATGCGCTCTATGAGCTGGTCCACGGATTATCAAGATGTGGGCGGCGCCGTCAATATCTATGGTTTGGACTCCTACCCTGGTGGTCTGTCCTGCACCAACCCAGACACTGGGTTCAATCTCGTCCGCACTTACTACCAGTGGTTCCAGAATTACTCGAGTTCTCAACCTGAATACCTGCCAGAGTTTGAGGGCGGTTGGTTCTCCGCTTGGGGAGGGACTTTCTATGATCAATGTTCTACGGAGCTTTCGCCTGAATTCGCCGATGTCTATTATAAGAATAATATCGGCTCCAGAGTCACATTGCAGAATATCTATATGGTTATGGGGGCAACTTCTTGGGGAAACAGTGCTGCTCCGGTTGTCTATACTTCATATGACTACTCTGCGCCCATGCGAGAGACTCGTGAGATTCGGGACAAGCTCAAGCAGACCAAGTTGATTGGGCTGTTTACTCGTGTGTCGTCCGGTCTTTTACAAACGCAAATGGAAGGGAATGGAACGGGGTACACGAGTGACGCAAGTATATATACCTGGGCCTTGCGAAACCCAGAAACCCACGCCGGTTTCTATGTTTTGGCGCACTCTACTAGTTCGTCTCGTGCTGTGACTACTACTTCGCTTAATGTCAACACCTCGGCTGGTATTTACTCCTCCAGTATGTGTTTGAGAGGATGAATTGTGCTAACTTCGGACTCTACACAACAGGGGCCCTCACAATCCCCAATATTGAGTTAGCCGGCCGCCAGAGCAAAATTATAGTCACCGACTATCAAATCGGCGATGGCTCCAGCTTGCTCTATTCATCCGCCGAGGTTTTGACCTATGCCACCCTCGATGTAGATGTCATCGTCTTCTATTTGAATATTGGACAGAAAGGAGAGTTTGTCTTCAAAGATGCACCGACCCATGTAACTTTCCAAACATACGGCAATTCTAAAGTGAGCTCCGCCGCATCGGATCATGGCACCAAATACACATACACTCAAGGAGATGGCACGACGGTGCTGAAATTCTCGCACGGCGTACTAGTCTATCTTCTCGACAAAGAGACAGCTTGGAATTTCTTCGCAGTACCGACTACTTCCAATCCGCGTGTGACTCCCAATGAACAAATCATTGCCCTTGGGCCATATCTCGTTCGCACTGCAAGTGTGAGCGGGAACACCGTTAGTCTTATTGGTGATAACGCAAACACGACATCTCTCGAGTAAGTACGATACAATACTAAACTCTCGACCAAGTTGTTGGCTAATATGTGATTGTAGGGTCTACACGGGCAACCCAAAGGTCACTAAGATCAAGTGGAATGGCAAGGAGATATCAACCAAGAAGACAGCCTACGGCAGCTTGATCGGATCTGCTCCAGGAGCCCAGAATGTCAAGGCCTCGCTGCCAACCCTGAAATCATGGAAAGCGCAAGACACACTTCCAGAGATCAAGCCAGGCTATGACGATTCTCGCTGGACGGTCTGTAACAAAACGACCTCGGTCAACTCCGTAGCACCACTAACACTTCCGGTGCTTTACTCCGGCGACTACGGCTACCACGCCGGAACGAAAATCTACCGGGGACGGTTCGACGGCGTGGCCGCGACAGGCGCAAATCTCACTGTCCAGAACGGCGTCGCCGCTGGCTGGGCCGCCTGGCTAAACGGAGTCTATGTTGGCGGAGCCGTTGGTGATCCCGCCCTAGCCGCGACATCAGCGGAGCTACTATTCAACAGCTCCACCCTCCGCAAGACCGACAATGTTCTGACGGTTGTTATGGATTACACAGGCCACGACCAGGCAAACGTGTCACCGAACGGGGCGCAAAACCCGCGTGGTATACTAGGCGCTACTCTCCTTGGCGGGAATTTCACGTCCTGGCGCATCCAAGGCAACGCAGGAGGCGAAGCCAACATCGATCCCGTTCGGGGACCCATGAACGAAGGAGGTCTGTATGGAGAACGCCTGGGCTGGCATCTTCCCGGATACAAAGCGTCCAAAACGGCAACATCGGACAGTCCTCTGGACGGTGTATCTGGTGCCGCAGGCCGGTTCTACACGACGACCTTCAAGCTCGACCTGGACTCCGACCTGGACGTTCCGATTGGTCTGCAGGTCGGTGCATCTGATTTCCCCGCAGTTGTCCAGATCTTCATGAATGGGTACCAGTTCGGTCATTACCTACCGCACATCGGCCCTCAGACTAGGTTCCCTTTCCCGCCTGGTGTGATCAACAACCGGGGGAAGAATACGTTGGCGATTAGTCTGTGGGCGCTGACGGAGCAGGGGGCGAGATTGAGTCAGGTGGATCTGGTTGCATATGGAGCTTATCGCACTGGATTTGATTTCAATCCCGATTGGTCCTACCTGCAGCCACAATACAAGGACAACCGGGGCCAATATGTTTAGTTGATAAATGTGATATGGTGTGACACATTGGATTTGAGATCGTCGGTTGGAATTCTGCCCGAGGTCTAGATCTAAGTACTTTCTTTGTCTAGCTCTACCTGTTTTATCACTTTCATCTTTTTGTATGGATCCCCCTACTTCCTTGTTTTTTTTTTGTTAGTTACATTAGACTAAAGTACTTGAAGTAGGAAGTTCAAAAACAGACTGTAAGCTAGGACCCCTGTCAATTAATTTAGAAATGTATACAAAAAAGGACTTTAGTATAGATACTTAGAAACACCCGTCTCTGCTATATATAGTCAACTCTTTCAAGGTACCAAAACACCAAGACACAAAGTCACCAAGTCACCAAATAAATCCTCATAACCAATGACAATTGAATAAAATGTAACTAAAAAACAAAATAAAAAACAGTTCATTGTCCAGGCGACTATCGGCCAAAACGCGATGTCTGCCCAACGTTCGTGTCCACCGCCATTTGTACTTCTCCACACGTTTAAACACGTTCCATCCTCCTCATTTCTAAACATCCTATCCTGTTTATAATTTATATTCCCTAATTCATAATGTCGCGTCATAACAGCGTGGACCTAGACTCACCCGATCGGCCTTTCGACAACATCATCAATTTCCGTGATGTCGGCCGGTCAGTTAACCAATTTTGTCGCAAAGAGTGAGTTAAGACGCGTTGACAGCGAGATAGGGTCCATGTCTCTTACAAAAGACTAACAATTTGCATAGAATCTTGAAAGAAGGCGTGTTCTTCCGCAGTGCGAGGGTAATTCTAACCCCGCTCCAATGACTCCAATGACTCCAATGACTCCGATGCATTGATGCGTTGTCAGAATAAGCAAACCAAAAAGCACGAAGGAAAAAAAAAAACTAATTCGAAATTGGAAATTTCTAGCTCGATGATGCCTCAGAACGAGATATACGCCGTTTAACAGAAGAACTACAAATCCACACCGTCATTGATCTCCGTTCCCAGTACGTCAAATCAAGACCGCCAACAGAAAATCACGAATCCAACTAATACCAAACACAGAACAGAACACCAAATGGGCACGCGCAAACGTCGAAGCGAAAACTACAAATCAGATTCCGAAAAATCACCATCACCAACAGACCCAATCCCAACAAACCCAGACGAACACCTCCTCCAAATCCCCGGCTCAAAACGAGCTCTAATAAGCCTAACAGGCAAAGGCTTCGAACGCGCCCTATTATCCAAATTGGACTGGTTCACATATCTGTAACGTGCCCTCCCACCATCCACAACACATTACAATACCTACATGAACAAAAAAAAAAAAAAAACCAAAAAAAAAACGAGTACTAATACCCAACAGCAAAGCAATCGGCCTGGTTACAACGGGCTACCGCAGCGACGCCGTGCGTCTAGTCTGCGGGTCTGCAATGCAACCGCGCGGACTCACCGGACTAGCGCAAGACACGCTCGATTCAAGCATGGGCGAGATCCGCTCCGTATTCGAGATCCTGGCGTGCGAGGAATCATATCCAACCTTAGTGCATTGCACGCAGGGAAAAGACCGCACGGGTCTGGTTGTGATGCTTATGTTACTGCTTGTTGGGGGTGTGCCGGTTGATGCGATTGTTGATGATTACAGTCGCTCGGAACTGGAGCTTGTGTCGGAGTTTGAGGAGAGGATGGAGGAGATTAGGGCTATTGGGCTTGGGGAGGATTATACGCGTTGTCCGACGGGTTTCGTTAGTGATACTACTGAATACCTTGAGACGAGGTATGGGGGTGTTAGGGGGTATTTGGAGAGGGTTGGGGTTGGGTTTGAAATGCAGGAGAGGGTTAGGGCGAAGTTTTTGGTTTGATTCTCTTCTTCTTCTTCTTCTTCTTCTTCTTCTTTTTCTTTTTTTTCTGGATTTGGGATTTTGGGATTGGGATTTGGATATATGGTGTGGCTGGCTTTTTGTATTTGATATGGGATATGTAGATACGATAATGACCTTGGCATTGGGATGGGTCTAGCATTTCTTATTACATGGGCATTTGGATGCGAGATTAATGAATGATGGAGGATTGCATGTCTTCATTTTTGGGTCCAGTGAATAATAGACTGAGAAAAGGAATGTTACGAAAGATCCAGTGGAAAATAAATGTAAGGTTATTGAATAGATATCTATATATGTAAACAATTATTCCAAGGCCAACATATTGGCTCTAACGGTGTATACCAAATTTCCCAGAAAACACTATATATAAGAGTATCCACAACAGGTATCCAAAAAAACATTAGCAAAAGCAGAGTATCAGATGACATCGTGCACGTCATATAAGTAAATACAGGAACATGAAAAATCACAAAGGGAATTACTTAGACCCGCTGGCCACGGTAAAAGCCGGTGGTCGGGCCCATCGAGTCATGGGTCAGCGGCTCTTCAATGGAGACACCCTCTTCACGGGTTCCACTGAGTCCACCCTGGTTCATCAGGTACTTCTCACCCTGGGGCACGTGGTTTCGGGTGCGCACGGAAGGTAGTAGATCGACGACGAAGGAGAGAATGTAGCCGGTGAAGACGAAAGCAATGGTCCACTCGAGAACCGCGCCAGGGTTTTGTTTAGAGGACTTATTGCTACCGATGCAGACACCGAAGCCGATAGCGAGTGCGAGCTCGACAATGACGAAGACGAGCTTGATAAAGAAACTGGCGAGCAGGACACGGTGCTCGCGACGGTAGAAGATTCCGATGCGGAGGTACTCGATACACACCAATATGGCACTAGCGACGTATCCGCCACTGGAGAGAAATTGATTGGTTAGTTGGCTGTTGGCTGCATAGTTCCAAACGTGGACAGGACTCACATGAACAGGCCGATGAACCCGTCGTGCAATTTCGGGTGGCGGAGTGTATCAAAGACAGAGAGCAGAATCAGACCCGCAGCACCGGCAATAGCGAAGAAGATTGAAAGAATAGCGCATGTCTTGTCCAATCTACCTTTGTTCGCGGCCAACTGGTTGGAGTGTCGAAGCCACCGCTCGGAGAGGAAAGCTAAATCGAGAAAGACGACGGTGACCGCGCTGCCTGCAACGAACAGCGGCTTCAAGCCTTGGGCTCCGACATCTGAAATGTACCTATGACAATCCTGTTAGCGCATGGATGGGCAAACGGTGTGGAGAATGAAAACATACGCAATCGTCTGTCCGGCATCCATACTGGCGTAATGCGGTCTCCCATCTTCAACCCAGGTGACCAGCATGGCAATCAACATTGCTAAGACCCAGTTAGCTGCAGCCCAAAACAAGATATCCAGTTCAGTGCAGGGGTGCCTTACCAACCCACATGCAGGCTGACACCAATGGAAATATCCAAAACGATATAATCCACATCTTTGCGACTGTTTTGAGTTGTATCTCGAGACCAATTCCGATGCAATGGAGAGGTATATGAGGGTTTTGTATGTCCGCTAAAAGTCCAATTCAAAAGAGAGTGGATTGAAAATACAGCAATGCGCAGGTGAGCCTATATGGTCCTGTCAGGTCGCAGCTTCTTCAATATCGGTGATTCCATGTAGCATAGAAAGAAGGTGTGGATCCGAGGTATGATTCTCCAACCGTGCAACTCACCTATATCCCTGTTTGTATTTACAATGTATCACAGGAATACAGCATTCCAGGTTCAAAATGATAAATCTTAAAGGGGGCGACAGTGGCGCTTAGACAACAAAGGGATGTCAAATTAGAACCGGGACAACGATGATGCGCAAGGGGATCGATATATATGTATTTTTTTTTTTTGTTATACCCGGGTTGGTAGACTTGAAAGGAAAAGCAGAGAAGGAAGAAATGATTTAAAGCCATAGAATAATTTAGACACCCTTATGGAGAGTAGAATAACGACGTCATTTCCAGGACTGCCAAGGCAGGAAAAAAGCTAGAAAAATTGCGCGCCCCCACAGCCTGGTCCTAATGATCGGCAATATTTACTCTAAGGGTTATGTACTTGTACTCCGTTATATTAGCATCGTACCTCAACAGAGTAATATGGTGCAATCCATAACATAGCCCAAGGTTATCCTATGATCTGCGGATACGCCGGGTGGCTGAATACTTGGCGGAAAAAACTCAGGTCGAAGGTTTGGAGGCTGACGGAATACAGTACTTACATATGTAATCAGATGTCAAGACGCTTTCAGTCATGTCGCATCGGTCCACTTATATACTTAAACTTCATATTCCAAGCCTTATAAAGATCTACGTACAATGTACCAAAGCCAAAAAAGTGGAAGTAATAATATGCTTGTAGTCCAAGACCAGTCTACCTAAAAACGCCTCGCGGTACGGAAAGACCGCAATGATGGAATCAAAAACAGTAAAGCAGAAAAGAAAAGAAGAAAAAAAAAGATTTCCCCAGGCCGATAGTAATCTAAGATAGGGCAACGTTGAGAGACACGTCATCTTCATCGACTGGTCCGTTTACGAGTGGTTCCAGTAACCGGCCGTCTCGTAACTGCAACTGGCGGGGCCTTGTGCTCAGCCACCTTGGCCACCTTGACGATCTGCACTTCATCCTCGCTGCTCTCCGATTCTTCACTGGATTCCTCCGACCCCAACTTGGATGGGGCTAGAGTGGGAGCTAGAGTGGGAGCTAGAGTTGGAGCTGGAGCTAGGTCGCCCCGAGTCTGCGTTGTGCCTTGTGGCGGACGTTTGCCCGGAGATTGAGGTGGATAAGCTGGGTATGGAAGACTTGAAGGATAGCTCATTCGATTCTGCTGTCCAGCCCGGAGATCGGCGGGAACCTGCGGTGGTTGGTATGGCGCGGGTTCCCCGTATGGGCTCATCGGCATGGTATTGTAGTAGGGTGGGGCCCATTGGGGATCGTCTGGCAGTGGCCGTTGGAAAACAGGCGCTTGTTGCATCGACTGTGGTCGGCCATTGGGGGCAAAGCGCTCTGGGGTGTATGGTGGGTAGGTAGGTCGAAGAGGTGAATTGGACTGCTGGGGGCGAAGAGATTGTGTTGTTGGGGTCCCGGGACGAGCAGAAGATGAGCTGGACGGCCGGCTATTAGCCGTCCCTCGAGCCCAGGTGCTGTGTGCATCCGGCGTAAAGGTCGGATACGCGCCGGAGAGCTGCTCCGGTGCAACAACTGCGCTCCGTCGAGATGATGGACGCGACGTCACCTTAACAGAAGTGGCGGACGGGCGCCGGCTTTTGCTTAAACCGTCCGTCTGCTGGCGCTTGCGCTCCAAGGCCTCCAGTTCGCGTTTCGACAGCCGGACGTTTTTTTTCCCCAGAACTTGAGCGCGGCGAATCCGCTCGAGCGCTGTGTCCACCAATTGATCTTCCTTGTCCCGCATGGCCAACTGAATCGCATAGGCCACCGTGCTATCCTCGTGGTCGTATAGATCGTATTCTCCTCCCTCAACCGATTCAGATTCATCCGTCAAGTCTTCATAATCTACAGGTCGCCTCCGCGGCCCTCGCCCTCCATACTCCTGCCTGTATCGACCGCCCCGCACCAGCTCCCGCCCGTATGGATCCTCCTCACTATCCACCTCCTCCAGTCGTGTCTCCTCCCAAGCCGCGCGTCCCCTAGTATTTCTCCCCGTTCGTGCCCCCGGTGGTCTTCCCCATGAGGGCATATCAAAAGGAGCTCGCGGCCGACCACCTAGACCGCCTCCTCGGAAAAAGCATTCTCGATCGGCTTATCCAAAAACGCAGCGTGTCCGAAAACGGTCACGCCAGTAGCGCCAATCAACCACAGGGCAGTCGTGAGGGGGGAAGCCCAGATGCCAATGGGGACACCGACGATGAGTAGTCCGGTGTAGAGCTGCGAAGTGGTGAAGCGAGAGAAGCCCAGATCCAGATCCCGACCTTGCAGCATGTTGATACCGTAGAGACCACAGCTCACAAAGACCATGTCGAACAGCAGCACCAAGTTGGTCAGCAAGCTGTAGATGCTGAGCATCACAAAGACGACGGCATAGTTGCTAGAGAAGTAGGACAGGTTGTAATTGACTCGGCTCTGGGCTTCACCGAAGTTGGCAGGCTTGGAAAGGCGCTTGACATCGAGGAACTCGGAAATCGGGCGCAGATTGGCGAAGCGTGTACTCAACGAGGTGCTGCGGAGGTTGTTGAAGCGATCGCCAAAACGCGAAGTGAGCGCATCAATTGGAATAGAAACCATTTTGAATGAGAAAGAGGTTGAGAAGGGGGAAAAAGAATAAAAAGGTTGAAGATTGGACAGGTAATAAAGTGATAGAGTGGACAAAGTGGATAGATAGAGAGGAAAGAGAGTCAGAGAGCCGGAAACAACACGTCGGAGAGGCAGTCACTTTTTTTTTTGGGCCTTTTCCCCTTTCGACTTTTTTTAGTCAGAGCACGGTTGTTTCACCAAGTAAGGTATCAAGTAATATAAGATGAATGAGATGAAATAGGTAGAAATAATAACAAAATAGACCCTAATAATAGTAACGGGTCTCTGTCATCCAGATCCTGGGCTCCCTAGGAGTCCTTCAGGGCTGAAGAAGAAACAGAAGAAATAAACTACGCATGGGAATCTAGATCTCTCTCTATATATATACCTAGGAATACGCCCAGATGCAATTATTCATGCAGAGCCCAACTATATTTCCCCTCAAATTAAAAAAAAAACTAAAAAAAAGGATGAAACAGTAAAAAAACAGTAAAAACACCAAGTCGATTGGGGCCACGTTTGGTTCTTGGATAAACGCCCGACCGCTTTTTTTCCCTACATGTCCTCCACTAACACACAGCTTATTCGTTCATTTCTATACTTCTCTTTCTGGCTTCTGCGGCATTGACCGCTATCACCATGAAGTCATTTGCCTTTTTATCGCTCTTCGTCTTCTTCAGCCTCGTCGCTGCTTGGTCCAAAGAAGGTGGGTATTATTTACCCCGGAGAAACTCCCATACTGACCTCGAAAACAGACTATGAGATCTTTGGTCTACAAAATGAGGTGGCCACAAATGAAGGTGCCAATGTGACTTTCTACGGTATGTGATGCCTTTGCTAGCATTGCAATTGACTTTCATTTTCATTTTCATCTTCAGGGATACGTATCTAACATCTATACCCGACCTGCAGACCTCCTCGAGATCCGTCCCAATGCCAATCAGGAACAAATCACCAAGGCCTACCGCAAGAAGTCGAGAACCATCCACCCGGACAAGGTCAAGCGCGCCTTCATCGCCAACTACGCCAAGGACAAGAGCAAGGCCAAGTCCAACCAGGGGGTCAATGTCAACAAGGGACCTACTCAGCGGGAGATTGACGCCGCAGTCAAGAACGCTGACGCCCGCTCTGCCCGTCTGAACCTCGTCGCCAACGTCCTGCGTGGCCCCAACCGCCAGCGTTACGACCACTTCCTCAAGAATGGCTTCCCTCTGTGGAAGGGAACCGGATACTACTACTCGCGCTTCCGTCCCGGTCTGGGCTCCGTGCTGGTGGGTCTGTTCCTAGTTTTCGGTGGTGGTGCTCACTACGCCGCGCTGGTCCTTAGCTGGAAGCGCCAGCGCGAATTTGTGGATCGCTACATTCGCCAGGCCCGCAGAGCCGCCTGGGGCGATGAAATGGCTGTTCCTGGTATCGACTCGGTCGCCGCCGCGCCTCCCGCTCCTGCCCCTGAATCCGGTGATGCTGGTGCCGTGGCTGTCAACCGTCGCCAGAAGCGCATGATGGATAAAGAGAACAAGAAGGATAAGAAGGGAGGAGGTGCCCGTGTGAGCGCTCGTGCTTCCTCTGGTACTTCTACTCCTACCGAGCAGGTTGCTAGCACTGGCGAGCGCAAGCGCGTCGTTGCTGAGAATGGAAAGACCCTGATTGTCGATTCTATTGGCAATGTGTTCTTGGAAGAGCAGAACGAGGCTGGCGAGCGCCAGGAGTTCCTGCTCGACATTGATCAGATTGAACGCCCCTCTATCCGTGAGACCATGGTGTTCAAGCTTCCCATTTGGTGCTTCAACAAGACTGTTGGTCGCGTGTTAGGATCTTCCGCTGAGGAGGAAGTGGATTCTGATGAGGTCGATGAGCTGGTTGAGGAAGCTGAGACCACTGCTACCTCTAACTCCCGCTCTCGGAAGCGCAACAGGCGCTCCCAGCGATCATAGATTTGGACAGTTGTATTGCTGCACCTCGGCCGTTGGCCATTGCTTTCTCTGCTCGACAGGCTGATCATAAAAGTTCCCTAAGGCTGTTTTACTATAGAATTTCTGCTCGGGTGTTTGTAATACCCGAAGTAGAAACCAAAATGTACACATAACTTTTTTTTTTCTCAAATCTAAAACTTCAGGGCAGAATGACGCTGGCCAGCTACTGGTCATTGATATACCGTGTACGGTCAAACGTTACAGTACGATATTTACTCACTCCTTGCAGATCCATCTCATATTTGTGGTACTACGAGTATCCCCGCAAAGATCGGTCTACCGGCAAGATTCGTACTCTCTACTCCATTCCTTTGGCAGGCTGATAGGCGGGTCTGCCAGAGGGCCAATGCGCTTCCCCAACCGCAGACACAACTAGTGCGGTGTACAGCTGTCCGATACTACCATACCCACCGGTTTGGGCACCAACACTTGATTAGTTTAGTATAAATGGGAGAATTTCATTGTATCTCTAGACTTGTTTCGAATATTCAGATGTTTCATTGCCGACACAAAACAACAACTTTTCCAAAGAAATCAATTCTATCGAACAGACGGGCTTCCCAGTTCATGACAACATCGAAAATGGCAAGGTATAACGAGCAAAAAGGAATGGGAGGTATAAAAGCAAAAAAAAAAGAAGCAGCAGAAGGACAGTAGGTGTGTATCGTGATCGTCATGTGTAGAATTCAACAAAGCATTGCAAATCGTGGGAAAAAAAGGACCTCAAGCTCCGGAGGCCAAACACAACAGCCTGTGCCCATCGCCTACGCAAACATCTTGGCAATGTTCATGAGACTGCTAATGTTCTCCGACATACCCCTGCCACCACTATCACCACCACTCGACTTCGTCGCGCCACCAAGGGCACTGGTAACAGCATGCGGTAAACGAATGCCAATCATAGCCAGTAGCTTCGGCAGAACACCGCTAGTGAGGAGCGGCACGATAACCATCATAAAAACCTTCATAGGGTTTCGACGAGCCCAGCGATAGATATCGCGGAAGAGACGCTTGATGTCGCGGAGCATGCGCTGGACGAATCCCTGGCGGGGCCGGGCCCGTCGCGACGAAGATGAGAACGATGAGAATACAGATGGGCTTGATCGGCCTCCTGTTCGGCCTCCACCTAGCCCGCCGAAGAAAGATGGCGCTGAGCTTCGCGTATGGTGGGTGGAGGAGTAGCCGGATTTGCTGCGTCTGCTGTGCGTGCTGTGCGAGCTGGGTGTCGGTGATGACCGGCGCCGCACGTATCCTCCCGATGAAACTGCACTGGATTTACCGTCGAACCAACCCATTGTGTGGGTGATGCTGATGCTGAAGCTGAGGCTGAGGCTGGTTACGGGTGCAGGTTTTCGCACTTGGGGTCAGACCGGTGAATGATGTGTTTGGTCTGAAGGACGGATTGTGTGTTAGGAGAGGGATTGGATTGTGGTAGGTTGGTACACAGAGGAAGGTGGGTTTGAGATGCTGCTGCGTAACAATGCCCCTGATTATCTCTTTGAACCTTTTTTTTTTTTGGCTTTCTGTGTGGCAATTGAAAGAATGAAAAGAGACAGATGCGAGTCAGCCACTAGCTGCTGCGGAGATGCGCAATCTGAGGTCTAGGCCGATGTGTGCACCCGCTTTTGGGGATTTTCTATGCAGGAAATCTCTTTTGACAGTTGGCACAATTGAGATTCTAAGAGGGGGTCGTGGATAATACTGGATGCTAATTTCGGACGAATCAAAGGAGATCTTCAGATGAAATTGATCAGTCACCCCCTGGCGGAATAAAGGTGGCTGGGGTGTTTGACCGGCTAAACTTAGTCGTAAACTGCATTTTGGGGTAGACAAAGTACCCTAGATGGCCAAGCAATCCACTCTCGAGTGGTAGCCATAATGGTCATCTCAAAATCATATTGGAACATGTATTCTGTATGTACATCGATGTTGTTGCTTAAAATCAAATATCACGAACACTTGGACCGTGGAACCTGATGGGGATCAATGCCTTAGGCGATAACGACGTCACTACATGTGATGGCCTGCCATGGAAGACTCTCCAAATTCTTCGAATCTATCATTAGTCTAACATAATACATCCTTTCTTGCTGAATCCCAGATCAAGTTGTGACCATGTCGAGTATGTTGATTTTACTCCCTCTTACCGAAGTTTATACTAACTCTTGACCAGGCCCCGATTACTGTTAGACCTCAAAGGCCCAACCGATACCGTTCCAACTAACATGTACCAGACAAGACTCTAGGTATCACCCAAGATGCCACCCAACAACAGATCCGCACCGCATATAAGAGGTGAGTATACTACACCTTTCCTTGAAATGACACCTCTAACCAACTCTAGGGAATCACTGAAATCGCACCCCGATCGAGTCCCCATCGACTCTCCAGAGCGACCCGCACGCACAAGGAAATTTCAAGAAATCAACGACGCATACTATACCCTATCCGACCGTACACGCCGTCGGGAATATGACGCTAATCGCGCATACCAAGCAGCCGAGGAGGAAGCAGAAACGGAAGTCCCACCAATGGGGACCGGTAGTTTCCCCTGGTCCAGCTTTGGATTTGGCGGGAATCGTGATGACCGCGACAACGACCAGTTCGGCTCCGTCTTTGAAGAGATGCTGCGCGAAGAGGGCCTCGCCGAAGAGAACGAGGGAGAAGGCGGGAGACGGACTCGCCCAACCGGAAGATTTTGGGCACTGGTTGGGGGTGTCAGTGGTGGTGCTATGGGCTTCATTGTCGGCAATTTGCCTGGTGCGCTGGCTGGCGCTGTTGCGGGTAATCGTCTCGGCGCGATCCGCGATGCTAAGGGCAAAAGTGTCTATGAGGTTTTCTTGGACCTTCCAACACAGGATCGGACGCGGCTCCTGAGTGAACTTGCAGCGAAGGTCTTCCAGTCTACTATGGGACGCTGATTTTCTCTATTTCTGGTTTGCCGAGCGGTTTGGGCGTTAGGGATTTGGAAGCTGGCTGTTACAGCCTCGGTGAGAATTAGGTAGGGTTAGATATTCCGGCTGCACATTTCCATGTGGCTACGGCCCACTCAGTGCAGTAGGAAATGCATATGTCAAGTATATAACCAGCAGTTAAGATAATTCTCGAGTGTCATATTTAACTTGCTCTGATCTGATAATTGACCCCTCCGTTTCTTATCGATAACAGCCAGGCACCAGAGTCTAGATGTCCATGCTGCGCAACATAGCAGAGTCCAGAATGGCAACATATACAAGATTAATTTGATCATGATCCTAATAAGTCATTATATCCAATAAACGTCTTCTCTAAAATCAAATCAAACAGACCAGGTGGCCTTCTCTCTGCTTCTGGACCCAACGGCCATGCGCTAAGCTCCCGCCTTCACTCACCGCTTGCGGCCAAAATGGGCCCCTCTGTCTATATTTACCCCCCAAGTTGCCCGCAAGTTTTATCTTTGACAAATTCTTTATTGAGACTCAATTGAATAAATCCTTCACAATGACTGAAGCTGCCAGTGTTTACCCTTCGTTGGAGAACCGTCCCATCAAGAACACGATTGTTCTGTTCGATGTTGACGAGACTCTCACCCCCGCAAGACGGGTAGGTTGCGACGAGACTCATTGCTGTTCAATTGTACTAATATATTTCTTTTGCAGCATGCCTCGCCAGAGATGCTCGAGTTGCTCTCTCGATTGCGCCACAAGTGCGCTATTGGATTCGTTCGTCTCCTCCCAATCAATACACCCACCCCGTTCCTAACATGATTCAGGTTGGTGGCTCGAACCTTGTGAAGCAGCAAGAGCAGCTTGGATCACCCACCATCGATGTTACCACCATGTTTGATTTCTGCTTCTCCGAAAACGGTCTGACCGCATTCCGTCTCGGCGAGTCGCTTGCCAGCAACAACTTCATCCAGTGGCTTGGGGAGGACAAATACCAAGCGCTGGTCGACTTCGTTCTCAAGTTTATTGCCAACACCAAGTTGCCTCGCAAGCGTGGTACTTTTGTTGAGTTCCGGAATGGAATGGTCAACATTAGCCCCGTTGGACGTGCTGCCAGCATCGAGGAGCGTGATGAGTTCGAAGCGTACGTGTTGATCTTGCATTACCATGTCCACACAAATGGACCGACTGACTGACCTGCACTATAGCTTTGACAAGATCCACAACGTCAGAAAGACCCTGGTGGAGTCCTTGAAGAAGGAGTTCCCCGACTACGGTCTCACGTAAGACTTTATCCGGCGAGGTTTACTTTTTGATATAGTGCTAATCAATCTGTCAAAATAGCTACTCTATTGGTGGTCAAGTCTCTTTCGATGTCTTCCCCACTGGTTGGGACAAGACCTACTGCCTGCAGCACATCGAGGCTGAAAAGGACATCTCTGGTATCGAATACAAGACCATCCACTTCTTCGGCGACAAGACTTTCGTCGGAGGAAACGATTATGAGATCTATGAAGACCCTCGCACCATCGGGCACTCCGTTGATGGTCCCCAAGATACCATCGATCAGCTGAAGAAGCTCTTTGACTTATAGATATGAGGTTGGATTTGAGTGTCAAGTGGCCGAAAGGGCATGGATTTGTGATAGCGTTTACATGCGAAGTCTGATTTGGATATTTTCTGAAAACAGTTTTAGTCAAAGATCGATCAAAATAGTCCTCTAATTGCATGAAATGAGAATATACCTAACTCTACGTTAACCTCTAGATAATGCGGGTAATGTGGGAACCGCCGGGAAACTGAAAGCGTCGATCTTTCCGATCCCCTTTAGTCATCCCGGCCATTTCAGGCCCCGGGATATTCCAAGCTTTCTCTTCTGCCGTCACTCTTAATCGGTTGCAAGTGCACGTGAATAAACTATTCGTTTGCCCACTGTCCTTGACATGGCGCCTCAAAAACATGTCGCGGATGTCCCGCGCAATCTCCTTCCCCGCCTGAGTTGGAACAGCTCCTCTGCGCGTCCATCCGTTACCGTCACCCACAATCCGGCGCTTGCAACAAGTCAAAGACGACCACTTCCCCAAGCCTGGAGTCCTGTAAAGCGACGATTCAGTTCCCTGACCCCACCCTCTCAGTCTTCCCAGCTCATCTCCACATCCTCCCGGGATGGTATCTCCGGATATCTCGTTTCCCGAGGAACCTCTATAACAACGCCGGCAACGTCGAACACAACTCCCCGCGGTAATCCAATCCGACACAATGGCGTCTACGTAGCTACCTATCATCCCGCTCGTCGCGCCTTCCACGCGACACCAGCCCGGCCCCGCGATCACCACTTTGATACCCTGAAATTCGTGAAGCGCCTACAAGCAGAGGGCTTCAGCGAGGAGCAGTCCGTAGCAATGATGCGGGTACTGAACGATATCATTCAAGAGTCAATCCAGAATCTGACCAGGACAATGGTACTCCGAGAAGGTATGTGAAGGCGTCTTCTGTCGCGCATCCGTGCTATATAATGCTCGTCGGAGATCTAACGGGAAATGGTTTGCTAGATTCGGAGAGATCAACCTATACACAAAAAGTGGACTTTGCCAAATTGCGCTCCGAACTACTTAACGCAGACTCGACTGAGGCACAGTTGACCCGTTCATCACACGAGAAGATCGCAGCAGACCTTGCCAAACTCAACTCACGACTTCGGGATGAGATTGGACGAACACAGGCCTCGGTCCGGTTGGATCTGAACCTTGAGAAGGGTCGGATACGCGAGGAAGCAAATAGCCAAGAAATGCGTATCAAGGAGACTGAAACGCGAATCGAGCAGGAGGTTGCTGGATTGAGGGAACGAGTGGAGGCTGTCAAGTTCTCGACGTTGCAGTGGCTTATGTATGATCCCCGAAGTCTTCTATTGATGCGTGAGCTTATACTGACTTTCTTTTCTCTGCAGGGGTGTCTGTACCGGTACCGCGGCCCTTATTCTTGGTGCCTGGCGCTTGTTTATGTAAATTGGGACAAAAGTCTGCATTGGATATGGAGTGATTGTTTTTGGCTTGCTTTACATGAGACATTTGATCTCTCACAACTTCTCTTTCTTTTTGTACACTATACTCTCTACTCGTCTAGCCGTGCTATGTTGCCATATGAGTTTAGACAATACCGAGCATTTCTTGGTCAATAGCAATGGAAACCATTGGATAATTCAAATTCCGGGCAGATTTAGTGTATAATAGTCTGAGGGGGTTACATAGGGCTTGCGTCGGAAGTCCGTCGCACCTTCCCCTCTTTATGCGCCTTATCTTCAGGGGCAAGTCTACAGGATCACCTCATACTACGCAAGAGCCACTTTCAAGGTTACATACATGTGTATGTAGCCATTAAACACCCGTCTTTGATAGAATCCAATGTCCTAACTGGTTCAGAGATAACATGGGAGTCTTTCCAATGGATCCGCAATCCCCCATGGAGTATTGCTTTACCCGGCTAGCGGCATGGTTGTTATATATTCTTATCCTTTGCCTCGCGATCACATTTTGCAATGTTTTAAAATTGTATCGCGGGCCTTGGAATCGATCTTCAGTGTGGGTGCTTAATCAAGAGCCACTGAAGCCTCAAGACACGTACACTGCGAACACTGTTTTGTCTATTGATCATTGCGATTTGAACTCAAAGGTGAACAACACCCGCAGCAAGCTGAGAAGAGCCAACCCAAGCGTCGGACTACTGGCGATTATGGTGCTGATCGCCATATGTGGATTGTTGCTTTTGGGGCATCTCCCATCGGTTTCCTCTCTCCAAAGCGGATTGCAGTCCATTGCTGGCTTCTCATCCCAGACACCTAGCTCAACTGGTTTGCAAGAGTTTTTCCAGCTCTATCAGCCAATACCGCTCAATTCCAGTGAAAAAAGCAACTGCGATGTTGATATATTGCTCATGGATCATGTTTTTGGAGCCAGTTATGGAGCACCGTTTGTTGGTAAGAGGTCTCGAAAGTTATTTCTACCGGTGGTCTAATCTTGCAACTTATCCAGGCGAATATGAGCCCCCAAACTGTGACTTTGATACTGTACGAATTAATCTCACAGTCACCTCCCGGGGGAAGCAGTTTGACCGCCTGGCTCTCATGTATCTTGGAGACAATGAAGTGTTCCGGACTTCAACCGCAGAGCCAACAGCCAATGGAATTGTCTGGACCTATGTCAAAGAGATGTCGCAGTATAACTCGCTATGGAAGAGTCCCCAGAAGCTGATATTTGACTTGGGAAATATCATTAACGATGTTTACACCGGCTCGTTCAATGCCACGCTAACGGCGCACTTCGTTGCGGAGCAGAATGTCAAGACCGCGGATATAATTCTTCCAATCTCTGCCAAAAAGGCAGCATCAAACTCTTCCAGTGCCTTCCAACTTCCCGCAGACAACGCAACAGTTATGTACGAGATCCCTGCTGCGGCATCGCGTGCTGTTGTGTCAATATCGGCATGTGGACAATCAGAAGAAGAGTTCTGGTGGTCTAACGTCTTCTCGGAGGATACCCAAGACTTTGAAAGTACTGTCGGTGAGCTATATGGGTACACTCCTTTCCGTGAAGTCCAGCTCTATATCGACGGGGTCCTTGCCGGGCTTGTCTGGCCATTCCCTGTTATTTTCACGGGAGGCGTGACACCGGGATTCTGGCGTCCGGTCGTTGGGACTGATGCCTTTGACCTTCGCCAGCCGGAGATTGATATTTCCCCATTTCTCCCCATGGTCCAAGACGGGAAGCAGCATTCGTTTGAGATCCGGGTTACTGGTCTTGATGTGTCAGTAGATGGGAGCGTCACCTTTGCAAAAACTGTAGGCTCATATTGGGTTGTCACAGGGAATATTTTCATATATATCGATGACGACAGCTCCGCCTCTAAAGCTACCGTTACTGGTGACAACAGTCGGCCCACGTTGGATGCTCCCTTACCAGTGTTTGCTGTGACTCGGAAGCTTATACAAAGTAAGACCGGGGGAAACGACTCCTTGTCATACTCTGTGGTTGTTGAGCGAGACTTCAGCGTAACCTCTTCTCTGTACTCATGGTCTCAGACACTATCCTTCTCCAACCACGGTTTCCTCAACCAGCAGGGATACAGTCAAGTTAACAGACAACTCACAACTGGCAAGAACACTATCACTGAGCTTGGAGATATGCCCGTCTCAAACAGCATTGCATTCCAATACCCCTTGGTTGTCAACGCAACTTACGGCATCACCTCAAATGAGACGACGATTGACTCTTGGATGAAGAGAGGTCTCGATTTCAAGGCAACAGGAGGGCTCGGTATTTCCACATATACCTTGACATCGGGACCATCATACCTACACACAAGTCAGTCCGGCACGGCGCAGTATAAATCGGTCACTGGAGGAAAGTCAAGCTCTTGGGGTGACACCATCAATTTGTTCGACAGTCAGACAAATGGACGATCATACCACCGATCTGTCCATGCTGTCAATGGCACCGTTGTTTCTGACACCGACCCTAATGGCAAGACATCGGCTTCTTCTCCACAAGATCATAGGGATACTGGGAGAGGCAATGTGAGGGCTATAATTGGAAAGGGGCCTGGAGCTCTTGTAAATCAGGGAGAGTGACATAATATGAAGAGTTCCGGACGTCAAGGTTGCAATGTAGACAATATCCCGTTTGGGACACGGAGGTGGGATACAACGCGTCATGGTAGAGGAGCGCTAAGAGTGAGTTATCATGATGTCGTAGGAAATCCAAGAATCGCTTTTACACAAATGAGACTAAATTAGAAATGAGACAAGGTCATAGATCGTCATTTACCTTTGTTTCGACATTTCAGTCTCATTTGGCATTAAGGATAAAAAGCATCTGAACTGCTCGTTGTTGTTACCCCCCAACGAGTTTGGGTCCTTATTGAGCTTCTTCTCATATTCTACTGGCCCCTCCACGTCCCCTTCATGTCCCCTTCGCCTCAAGGCTCTCTTCAACGCGCCCTTGCAATGGAAATCACTTCTTACAGCGTCGAGGGCACTGATCGGTTTGTCCACCGACTAGGGGAGTAAGTTCTTGGTCTACATACTGTATGGATGAGAGGACTGACTAGAGACAGGTTTTACCCCACAGGCATATTCTCCGACCTCACCATTTACACCACGGATCAAGCCTTGAAGGTACACAGACTCATTGTCTGCAGCCGATCCGAGGCTTTCCGCCGAATCTTCTCTAATGTCCGTGCAAGTCTCCCTAGAGCCCAAGCTCTTAATTATCCACAGGCTCAGCTGACGTTGATTATTTCAGGGAAGTAAAGAGACCCATGTATTCGAAATAAAGGATGAGCATCCACGCGTCGTTGAAGCCATGATACGCTCGTTCTACGGACTTCATTACGATATCAACCAACCCGAGGCTCAAATGTGCCCCCTGTTGTTTAATGTCCAGGTATACGCCATTGCCAACAGATTCGAGGTGGAATATCTCAAAATCCAAGCAAAATTAACCTTTGTCACCCTTGCCCAAGACCACTGGGACACGGATGAATTCTTGACTGCTGCTTTTGAAGCATACAAAATAACAACAAAGTCGGATCGGGGTCTCCGGGATGTGGTGGTCGCGGTTTGTCAAAAACACAGGAGGCATCTGCGCGAGAAGAAAGCATTCGAGAAATTGGTTCAAGAAACCCCCGGGCTTGCTACCGATCTTGTGCTGCTTTCGCACAGGTGGTTGCCTCAGTCTGCGTCTACGAGAGTTCGTCTTGTTCAGTCTTTCTCTTGTCTGTCTTGTTTTGCAAAATGGCAGATTCAGGTGGGGCTGGCAGAGTACTTTACTGCTTGTCCGTTTTGCCATGATGATAAGGTTGATGCTTTTTGAGGTCTGTCTTACTGTAATTTCAAAAATTGTGTCTTTCATGGAGATATTATGATTCTTTTCAATGTTGTAATGTCAATCGAAGTATTTAGCACAAAACCGAGACCTATTCGTGCATTTCCCTGTTACAAATTTTATTCGATACTCTATTGTTTTAGTACGGTTCAAAGTATATAGTCACCGAGAACCGTGGAAGCATCCAGATATGTTTACATAGTAAATCGTCATACAATTAGTGTTAACAGCATAGCTATTATCAGATGACCATAAGCTCCAGTAAATATATTGGATTATAAAGCTGGACGTAGTGTGTTGAGACCTGAGCTATTATCATCTCGATATACCACCTGGGCAAGTTGAGTTGGAGTTGCATTTAGCCGACGATAAGGTTGGCATCTGCCTTATCTTCCCGTGATCATTGCGATAAGATGATAGCCCCATCTTTCCCAGTCGCATTCTCTCTTCTTGTCAACTCTCCATTGTGGCGACAGGCGGATAGGCTGTGGTTTTCAAAATGAGTGTGGTCATAGAAGATATTGCATTACCAGGTATTACTTTTGTTTGCTAATTGTCTTGACGAAATTGAAGCACTGACATCCATTATCATTCTAGACGCGACTCTCGAGTCTCTATACCCCATCTTCCAACAATGCGATGACCGTCCTACTAAGCGGCGCAAGACTACTAAAGGGAGAGCAAGGAGTCTGACAAAAGAAAATGGGGTAACAGCAATGGGAATCCCTCTGGGCTACATTCCATTAGCACGATTGACAATGCGCATAGTAGGTTGCCACTGGTATCCCGCTTTAGGGCAAAACGACTGATTTATTGTACTTTGCAGAAACCCTCGAACACGAGCACGCACCAATTTAAAAAGCCGTACGACCCAAATATCTCCACCTCCCGCGTTCCTATACTCCTAGATGTTCGAAGCGTTCATTTTCTCAACGACGATCTGAACAACACGCCACAACCAGACTCGGCCAATGGCGACCCCAGTCGTATGGAACTGGAAATATCGAGTCTCGATGAAGAAGAATTGCTGATATATCCGTGCGAGGATTTGCGGCTGTTTGATCTCCTTGGGCAACTTCTGGCCGCCAGTAAACTTCCTCACGTGGACCAGTTCTCCAATAATGTGCCCACAGCCTGCTACCAAGCGCACCTGTGTGCCTTGTCAGATGGAGCAACTTTTGCTATCGAGACGGTTGTTCTTTGGAGCGATTCTATCGAGACCCCAGATTTAAACCGTTTGACGGAAGCAGACCTGGAAGCTTTTACAAGATATGTGCTGCAAGAAAAATGTGTTCGCCCATCGACATTGACCGAACCACGCAAATATCGTAATAAAATGCTGGGAACCCCCCAAGAATGGTCTCCCCGGGATTTCTACAAGAATGTTCACGTTCCCAAGCTCACAGACAGTTCGACGAATATCAAATGCCCCGATTTAAAATGCAAGCTATTCCCGTTTCAGAGAAGAGCCGTTCGTTGGCTTTTACAAAGAGAAGGAAGAGAGGTCGGGCCAAATGGCGAGATTATGCCCATGGAGGAACTCCCCAAAAGTGACCTTCCAGCTTCTTTCAATTCCACTAAAGATGCCGATGGACGGACCTACTACTTCAGTCATCTTTTCATGATTCTGACCACAGACCTTTCTGGGTGGCACGATGCCGCAGATAATCTGAAAGGTGGAATACTTGCAGAGGAAATGGGGTTGGGCAAGACAGTCGAAGTGATTGCGTTGATAAACCTGAATAAGCGAGAATCACAGCCCGTCAAGGCTGATCCTGACGGGTTGAGACCTACTGGCGCCACTTTGATCATTACACCACCCGCGATTCTTGAGCAATGGAAACAAGAGTTGAAAGAGCATGCTCCCACTCTGCATGTTTACCATTACAATGGCATCAAACGTGGGAAAGAAACAACTGACGAGATGACTGTCGAAGAGCTTGCCGAGTTCGATGTAGTTCTGACCACCTACAATGTCATCGCGAAAGAAATTCACTATATGGGTGCTACTCCGAAACGATCTCTACGGCACGAAAAGCGATTTTTACAGAAGAGGACACCACTCGTTCGCCTCTCATGGTGGCGTGTATGTCTGGATGAAGCTCAGATGATAGAGAGTGGAGTCAGCAATGCGGCGAAAGTAGCTCGCTTGATCCCTCGAGAGATTGCTTGGGTTGTAACCGGTACCCCACTGCGCAGAAACATAGACGACCTGTTTGGCCTTCTTCTTTTCCTCCATTATGAGCCGTTCTGCTTTTCAGCCCCCTTGTGGAGAAGATTGTGCCTGTGTTTTGGGTCAGTCCTTGCCAAAATCATAAACACAATCGCTCTTCGGCACAGGAAAGGTCAGTTATTGGATGAGCTTCGCTTACCACCCCAAAAGCGCATCGTTATCACTACTCCCCTCACAGCTGTAGAAGAACAGAAGTACGCTCAGATTTTCGAGGAAATGTGTGAAGAATGCGGGTTGAATGCCTTAGGAGCCCCCCTTCGAGGCGACTGGGACCCCGAAGATCCTGTAATTGTCGATAAAATGCGTACTTGGTTGACGAGACTCCGCCAAACGTGCCTCCATCCCGAACTCTTCAGCTATCGCCGAATCCTAGGTACAGGCTCTGGTCCTTTGCGGACTGTGGCCCAAGTCCTGGAAGCTATGACCGAGGCCAACGAGGCAGCTATACGTACAGAAGAACGGTCGCTCCTTTTATCTCAACTTCGACGAGGCCAGCTTCTAGAAAATGCAAAACGTCGCCAAGAAGCACTCGCTCTTTGGCAGAAAGCATTGGATCATGCCACTCAGCTGGTTGAAAACAGCAGAGAGCAACTTCGCCTACTGAATACCAAAGGCACTACCGGCGACAATAACGAGGCTACTCCGGGACTCATCGATCTGGATGGCGAGGAGGATGATGAGGATGAAAAAGAGGAAGAGGCGGACAATAACAGCCACCTCGGTCAGTGTCGGCTGAAGCTTCGAGCTGCACTCGAGGTCCAGCATATTGCAGTGTTCTTCACTGCGAACGCATATTACCAAATCAAGAGCGACCCAAATTTGACCCAGCCAGATTCGGATGAGTTCAAAGCGCTTGAGAAACGCGAAGAGGATGCTTATGAGGCTGCAAAAGTCATTCGCAAAGAGATGTTAACTGATATTTCCCGGAAAGTCGAGCGCCGCATGAAAGAAATAACGGTTAAGGCACGAGACAAAAAATTCGCGGAGATCCCGAAAATGAAACCCCATCTCTACAGCAAAGGAATCGAGTCATACAATCTACTCAGAAAGTTTGAAGATTTCTGCGACGCTCTTAACAAGAATGCCGAGCAATACCAGGAATGGCGGGATGTCATGGCCAGACTGGTCTCTCAGTCACTCATTGACCAGGAAGAAGAAGCAAAGTTGGAGGGTGACGAGTATGAGCGGTCAACAAAACATCAAGATGAGATGTATGTCTACATGGAGGCTTTGAGGGCAATATACAGCGACCGTCATGATGCTCTCACTGGTGAAAGGAACACTCTCATTTCCCACGAAGTCAAATCCGGAATCGTCCAGGCCGAAAGAGGTGAGGGGCCCTCCCCACAACTATTTCTCAAGGTTATGGAAACTCGCAGTCGGTTTATACCTGATCCTGATATCGGATCGCTCCGCAACATTGTCAGTGAGCTTCGCAAACTTGTGACGTCGCTGGAGTGGCAAGCCGGCTTGGGTAATTCGCGTGCTCGTGCTGAACATGAGATTGTCGAAATGGTCTTGAAAAACGCCGGTCAAATGATCGCTGAGCAACTGAAAGTATCGAACAAACTGAGCAAAGAAGTTCAAATTTTCCGCGACGCCATGAACAATCGACTAGAGTATTACCGTCACCTGCAGCAGATTTCGGATACAGTGGCTCCATATGACGAGGAAAATGCAGGCAAGCCGCTAGATGAAACCGCTTTTACCCTGACGCTGGAGCAAGAGGGAGTCATTGAAGGAAAGATTGCATCTCTCAAGTCCAAAGCAAGATATCTCATTCACCTAAGAGATGATGCTAGCTCCGACAGTAATGCTCGAGAGTGCATTGTCTGCGGCTCGACCTTCGAAGTTGGTGAGTATTGCTTTCTCTGGATGTATCTTTTACACGTGGACTGACCTTTCATGCAGGTGTGCTGACCGTGTGTGGTCACAAGTATTGTACTGACTGTTTGCGGCTATGGTGGGCTGCACACCAAAATTGCCCAATGTGTAAGAGGAAGTTGAAGCGTAATGATTTCCATCAGATCACATACAAGCCACAGGAGCTAGTTGTTCAAGAGGAAAAGACACCTGTCAAATTGGAACACGAAGGTCATTCTCAGAATGCGATTTACAGTGATATCAGCTCCGGTGATCTCAATGCGATTAAGAAAATTGACTTGGAGCAATCTTACGGGACAAAAATTGACACTTTGGCCCGACACATCCTATGGCTACGGGAACACGATCCTGGCGCAAAGTCGATCATTTTCTCTCAATACGGAACCTTTCTGTCGCACTTACAGTTCGCATTCAGATCCCTTGGAATAATTGCCACCAGTATTGACTCCCCGGATGGCATTGAGAAGTTCAAAACAGACCCGGCTGTAAGCTACCTGGACCCATCCCTCATTAAAAAGAATACGCTGACGATTTCTAATCTAGATTGAGTGCTTTTGTTTGCATGGCAAAGCACAGTCATCCGGACTGAATTTGATTGTTGCAACCCATGTCTTTCTATGTGAGCCTCTAATCAACACAGCAATCGAGCTCCAGGTCATTGCCCGGGTGCATCGTATTGGGCAAAATCGACCAACCACAGTATGGATGTACCTTGTCTCTGGCACGGTGGAAGAATCCATATATGAGATCTCAGTAACCCGACGCCTAGCTCACATCATGGAGAAAGAGAAGCAAGCCAAAACAGCACTATTGGAAACCCCTGTCAACGGCGATGGTGTTACTGAAGAGGATATTGAATCTGCCAACTCGATGGAACTACAAGATGCCACTCTTACAACCCTGATGCAACGCGGCTCTGTGGGTGGAGAAGTAGTAAAGAAGGATGACCTTTGGCAATGTCTCTTCGGAAATACCAAGCAGAAAAATGGCGCTGACCTTTCAGCTGAGGCAGAAAGGGAGGTTGGTCGGTTCTTGAGAGGTGAAGCTGCTGAGCAAAGAATGGAGGGTTGAAATATGAATATTTATTGTATTTTAGAACATGCTATATCTTATCACGACGTAGACTCAATGTTCACTTGCTTTTTCCCCCCTCCCCTTCGTCTCTTACTTCCAAGGTTATATGTTGTAAAATCATCTATGTGGACTTTAGGATCGCACCTGGACATAGAGGGCCTGCCAAGAAAAGTGACTAATCACATACTGACTAATCAATGGACCACCTGGGCAGGTGCCCCCCATACTGTTCACTTGATGGCGATGACGTGAGTGCAGTTGCCTATAACTATCATTTTTTCTTTTATAAATCTCGTCATCTTGGTGTTTTGTTCATTGCGTTAATTTGATGCTCCGTTAGAATCGTCCTTCTGCAAAACACTTTCATCATGGCGGACTCACAGAGTCCTGAGGCTCGCGAGTTGAGCCTGATAGGCAAGGTGGAATTCAGAATTGCTATGGCAGACACAGACGAGAAGCTGCAGTCACTACTTGGAACGTATTTGCCTCCCTTGTTGCTAAAGCTTGGGTCAGACAGCGTGGAAGTGCGCAACAAAATCATCTCGATCTGCCAGCATGTCAACACCCGGGTCAAATCCCCCTCTATTCAGCTGCCCGTGGCAGCATTGTTGAAGCAGTTCAAGGACCAAAATTCTCAATTGATTAGACATTTTGATCTCATCTATGCACAGCAAGGCATTGATCGCCTCGGCTCCGAAGCTAGAGTCGAAATCCTATTGCCCTTGCTTCAAGGTATCTCGAAGATCGGAACATCACCCACCCAAGGTGCTATCGTATTTAATCTGGTTTTGCGTCTATTGCCACTTCTCAAGCTACCAGCAAAGGGCAGCGAAGAAGATCAGCGCCTGAAGGCCCGACTCGGTCTATCGGATGAAGATGCCAAATTCTTGTCCTTTTGGCTCGCGAAATTGTTACTTCTTACCCCTGGCCCTAGGGAAACTTCAACATGTCCCGGTCTATCTCCAGATGAGTATAACTTCTTGAACAAGGGTGCTCCCGGAAACGAGACATGGAACCCTTCTACCGATGGTGGCTTGAATCTGACCGAGACAAAGGTCACTGCCCTTCGATTCATCGGAAGCGGTGCTTTTAAGGACCCACAACGATTCCTCCCTTCACTGATCGCTTCTGCTGATCCTAACTCCCGCCTTGCCGATCTGGGAGATGAGACCCTGAAGCGATTTACTGCGGATATTGAGAATCCTGATGTTGTGCAGGAGTTGTATGATTTGTATTTCGGCACTGGTGGTGCTCCTCCCGCGCGCCCTCCACTCCAAGTGAAACTCCTCGTCTTTCTGGGGAAGTCCATCAAGGCTACTGCAGACCCCCATCGAATAATGAGACTCATTGAAGATGGGCTCCTATCAGACTCTGCTAGATCCTCCCAGGGGCTGCAAGCATCGAAACTACGGACCCAGATTTTTACGTTTACTACTTGGGTTGTCCGTATGGGTGCACCATCGGATCTCAACCAAATCGCGCCCAAACTAATTGCAGGACTGAGGGATTTCATTCAGTCTCAAGGTTGGCCCAGTCCGGCAGCTAGTGGGCAGAAACTACCTACAACAGACCTCAGCTTGCGAGGTCTTGCCTACGAGAGCATCGGTATCATGGTCCCCAAGGTCGACTTTATGGCGCAAGCCGATGCTGTAGAGAACTTTGAATTTGACCTGGTCCGATGGCTCTTTGCTTCCTTGAGTGCAGATGACTCGAGTCCCCAGATATTCGTCAGCATCGATCAGGCACTAGGAAGTATTCTCAATTCTTCGTTAGACAGCCACGACAAGACCTTCCAGGACCAACTGCGACCATTCCTGGTTCGTCAGATGAGCATGCAGCCTGGCGATATTGATCCCGACACTGGTTACCGTGCTGTGCGAGGTGTTCAGTATGCCGCAGTGCGTTTTGCGAACAGATTCCTGCCATTTGACGATGTGGTCGCCCGTTGGATCGATCTGATGGCTATTGCGAGAGGCCCTGAAAGACAACAAGAAATCGTTGAGGAAGGAAAGAAAGGTCTCCATCCTTACTGGTACCGGCTCCTCAATCCTGCCAAGGATGGGAAATGGTCAGCTTCATCGGCAAATCCAGTTCGCGATGAATCCTGGTTCGACTTCCCAAAGTTCAATGAGGCTACTAATTTCCTGCTTGGTTTAGGAGGGCAAGAGGAACATTTGAATGTTCAATCTTTGTCTGCATCCCAACTCCTGTCTGGTCCATATAAAGGTTCATTTATGCCTGCTATCTCATTCCTCCGAAATACATTGCTTTGGGAGGCCTTCTCAGCCTCGGGGGTTGCTGCAGACCTAGAAGAAGATTGGGACTATAAATTAGAAGTGCTCCTCTCCACCAGCGTGGAGGCCCGTTTGGCCGTGAGGAAATACATTCGAGAGAGTGCAAAGGAGTCTGTTTTGGCATTTTTGTCTGGCACCCTTGAAGGTCTTGTAACCGGCGAGCGTGAAGGGCTGCGGCAGTGTGGTATTCATTTCGTCGAAATCTGCTCGTTAGCACCCAATGACGTTGTTGAACACTTGATCTCGCGTGCGACATCCTTGATGGACCCTATTTGCAGTAATAACCAAGATAACCAGGGTATTACTGCACGGGCATTTGGAATTCTGGTTTCGCATTCTGCCTTCTCGGAGGACCAATTGAAGAGTTTCATCACTCAACTGACTGCTACCATTCAATCGTGGAATACTGCTGTTGGTCAAGAGGTCATGCGAGCTCGTGGGGCGATTTTGGCGCTCTCGTATTTGTTGAGTCGACTTGCGTACCGCGGTCTAGTGAACCGAGCCCCAGCAGCACAGACTAAGCAGTTTATTGAAACACTATTTGATATCCTAGATGTTTCCCGGGATACTCTTCTCCAGAGGACTGCACAAGAGGCCATTGGACAGCTAAGTCTATCTGGCGTGCTGTCTCTGGATATTATCACAGAAGATGGCTGGAAGAAGATCCTGGAAAAGCTATCGCGCGACGCCAAAACCGAGAATCAAATCCCTATCAGCTCTCTGGGGTTGTTGACGATGACCTTTTCCCGGTCTGGCTCAGACAGTACCTTGTTCAGCGATTTCCTAAGTTCACTCTACAGTCTACATGAAATCCGCAGTCCCGAAGTTCAGTTCACTGTAGGCGAGGCCTTGAGCAATGTCGCTGTTGGTTGGGATTCCCGGGCTCTTATCCAAGAGTTCGACATTGATGCAGAGTTCCCTCGCTCAGACGTCCCGCGCTCAGTGTTTACAGTCATCTGTGACAAGATCATTGCCGATTGCATTGCGCCCAAGCCATCTCTGCGGAAGGCGTCTGCAATCTGGCTGTTGTCGCTGGTTAAGAACTGCGGTCACCTGCAGGAGATGCAAGAGCGGCTGCGTAAGTGCCAAGCTACTTTCAGCAGCCTTCTTGGAAACCGGGACGAGGTGGTGCAGGAAACTGGAGCGCACGGACTCAGCCTTGTATATGAGATCGGTGACCAATCCCTGAAGGATGATTTGGTCCAAGATTTGGTCGAGTCATTCACCTCAACTGGTCCCAATCTCGGAGGCGGCAAGATTGAGGCCGACACACAGCTATTTGAGCCTGGGGCCCTCCCCACTGGTGAAGGATCGTCTGTCAATACCTACAAGGATATCATGAACCTGGCTGCCGAGGCGGGTGACCCCACTCTGGTTTACCGATTTATGTCACTGGCTTCAAACAATGCTATTTGGACAAATCGTGCGGCATTTGGCCGCTTCGGAATCAGCAGCATCTTCTCTGATTCTAGTGTCGATGGCTATCTAGCGAAGAACCCCAAGATTTACCCCAAGCTTTTCCGTTACCGGTTCGATCCTAACCCGAACGTGCAAAGATCTATGAACACCATTTGGCAAGCACTAGTTAAGGACCCTACCGTTGTCATTGATACCCACTTTGATGATATCATGCAGGATCTGCTTAAGAGCGTTCTAGCTGGTCGAGAATGGCGTGTTCGGCAAGCAAGTTGTGCGGCCGTGGCAGACTTGATCCAAGGTCGCCGTCCGGAGAAGTACGCCCAGTATCTCGATGAGATCTACAGCAAGGCGTTCAAACTACTGGATGATATCAAGGAATCTGTCCGCACTGCCGCGCTTAAGCTCTGTCAAACCATTACCAATTCGGTTATCCGCACACTCGAGACGAGCGGCTCAGAGAAGCGTGCAGGTACTTTACTCAAAAGTGCTATCCCCTTCCTCCTGAGCGACAAGGGACTGGATTCCAGCGTGGAAGAAGTGCAAGGATACGCAATCGGTGCTCTTATCTCAATGATCAAGAAGAGCCCTGGCAGCTTACTGCGCCCCCATGTTCCCAACATGCTGGAGAAATTCCTGAGTGCTCTCAGCTCTCTGGAGCCACAGGCTGTCAATTATGTCCACCTCAATGCCGACAAATATGGTCTCACCGGTCAAGAGATTGACAAAATGCGACTGTCCAGCATTCGCACATCCCCAATGATGGAGGTGATTGAGCGGTACCTGATTGACAACTTGGATGAAAGCAATCTCGATGAACTGGCACATAGACTCGAAGATGTGCTTCGGTCGGCCGTGGGCCTGCCATCGAAGGTGGGTTGCAGCCGCGTTCTAGTGCTGCTTAGTATGAAAACCCTGCTCTTCCGCCCGTACGCAGACCGATTTATCCAAATCCTGACCAAGTACGTGGTGGACCGAAACGACACGGTTAGCGCCTCGTACTGCTCATCCATGGGTTATCTGCTGCGGCTCGCTTCGGACGATCGGGTTCTCAAGACCTTTGACTATGCCAAAAACCTGTATCTGACAGCTGAGGATGCCACCCCACGGGTGATCTCCGGTGAGATTCTGTACTCGGCGTCCAAATTGTCCAACGATCGGTTTATGGCATTTGCGGCGAGCGCGTTGCCGTTTGTCTTTGTGTGTAAGCACGATGGCGACGAACATGTGAAAGAGCAGTTTGAGAAGACATGGCAAGATAACGTCGGTGGGTCGCGCGCCGTATCACTTTACATTCGTGAGATTGTGGGGCTCGTTTCGGACAATTTGGACTCTCCCCGCTGGGCTATTAAGCATACGGCCGCACGGGCGATTGCACAAGCAGTTTTATCGCTTGACGCAGAGATCGACCTTCCGACGGCTCAATTGGTTTGGCCGGTATTAGAGCGTGCTCTGGCGGGGAAGACGTGGGAAGGTAAAGAAGTGGTGCTTAAGGCACTAGTGAAATTTAGTTCGCAAGCCCAAAAGTTGTGGCAAGCCAATGAGGAGTTGAGGAACCTAATGAAGGTATGGGCTGACATGTCGCCACTTATTATAGTCGATTACGAGGCGACGGGTTTGAACTATGCAATTTAAGCTAACGCATGTCAGACTATTACGGTTCGCGAAGCGAAGCGCGCTAACGTGCTCTACCGGCCGCATGGACTGCGAGCAATGGGCGAGATCGCACAGGCTCGCAAGGACCTCAATTTCATGCCGGATGCATTAAATATTATTCCGGGGGTGGTGGAAGAGATGGAAGACCAAGACCAAGACCAGATGGAGATAGACTCGAGGAATGGGCGCGGCTCGACCCAAGATGACACCCTTGCGGCGTGTGTACAATGTCTCCTGCAATGTTTCAACCCCACCGCCGGTTCTGGTGAAGGTCAGTCTAAATCCGCCCCAATTCCCCCAACTCCCCTAAATCCCCTAAATTACCCTCAAATTGCGGGAAACCCCTAGCGTCACGCCTTGCTAACACTAACCACAGTGCTGGGGAAGTACTTGGAACAGGTGACCGGCCCGCTGGCTCAAGTCCTCCACCAAGGTGGACGACAGGTCGTGAGCACGGGCTACGATGAGCTCCGGGCGTTCTTTACGCGAGTGGATCAGTGGATCGTTTCACCGGATGCCTTCGGTGAACAAATGGCCGCACCCTTGACTGCTCTGGCGGACAAGATTCTCACGGGGGAAGTAGACGGGTCTGTCGAGGCCATCCGCAAGGGTCGTGCAGAGGCCATTCTAGCGTACCTGAAACTATGTCCGCATGCCCAAGCGGGCGTGCCTGACACACTTATCGTCCGAGTTCGTGAGTGGAGGGCCAGTGAGCGATCCGGACCGGTACAGCGTTTACTGGACGAGGCCTTAGCTCTCCCGAATTAAGAAACCCACGTGGTTTGGCCTTTTTTTATTGTTATTACTATTATTATTTCTTTTCATTTACAGGGTCGATCATGAATGATGCTTATTTCTTATTTTGTTTTGTTTTTCGTACGTCGATACGAGGGGGCTATAGCAATCGTACCAATAGGAAGTCTTCGAGAACGGTATAAAGCATTGAGGTGAGTGGGTTCCAGTTCCTGTGAAAAATGCTCCAAGTTCTACGCCACTCGCTTAATTTCGGCCAAGTCCGTTTGGAATGCGGAGAGTCCCAAAAGGTCGAAACTTGTCCCAAAATGGCCCAAAGTGTGATCTCCTCGATTTTCACCTCCCCAAGTCGATCCAGACCAGGGTCCCGGCCGATCGAGACTTTGGTTAGTTTCCCCGGATGTGTTTTGAATAGATTCCTAATTGAGTCCATTCTTCGTCTCCGATAGAGGGAGAAGATGATTCCTCATAGTTCCTCTCGACGTGGCTTCAGCCAGCCCCTTGGGTTCCCTTTCCTCTCTCTCTCTCTCTCTCTGTCTCTCTCTCCCTCTCTCTCTGTGTGTGCCCAAGTTTCCCTTAGGCCGGGACAATCCTCTTCGTGCTCAGAGTAATAATAGTAACTTCCAAGATTTGTCCACATGGTTGGCATCTGCATACCATTTGGTTGGTTTTTTTTTCCTCTTTTTTTCCCTTAGTTTTTTGACTTTTTTTTTTTCCTGCCCTGTTTTTCTATTTTCTCTCCCCTTCGCTTTTTTCCCCTTAGCTCTATGGTTTTCCTTTCCAAATAATCAAATAATCGAATAATACATTCATACATTCATATATTCATATATTTATATATTTATAAATATAAATATAAATATAAATATAATAAAAAATTAATATCATTTTATTTTCCCCCTAATTCCCGCCACCCGTCCAAAATACTGCGCCCATGAACCTTCGCCTTTTTCTGAGAATATACATCTAGCCTTTCCCTTCCCTTTTTCCCCTCTATCTTCAATCTTATTATACCTTCTTTTTTTTTTCTATCTTTAATTTGCCTCTTCCCCCATATTCTTCTAGCTTTCTTTCTTCCCACAATTGAACCATTAATATACTTATTCTGTACAGAGTACCCTAGTAAGTGTATTCCAATTCAGTCCACATCTGTACATCACTGACCATAACACAAAGCCTTATGACGGCAACCAGTCTGGTCATGCAAAACAGACGGAGCAAAGTCTCTGGGAAACCTCCTCTCCGGTTGCCCATCATTGCCCCCAAGGAAGATCTATTCGATGCCTTTGCCAAGTCCGAAAAGACATTGATCGCTCCACCGCGCATCCGCTTGCCTCCGCGATCTCGTACCGGTTGTTGGTAAGTGATCGTCTCTATATTTTGCCCATCCCCCGAATCCAAGCTTATTCCTTTTAGGACATGCCGAGTGAGTTGTTTTTTTTTTTATGTTTTCCTCCACTCAGAAGAAAAACGGTTGATTAATTGGCTTTTTTTTCTTCTTTTCCTTTTTTCCAGAGTCGAAAGGGTAAGTCACTTACGGACCCAACTCCCGTCCAATTCCGTGGCTGACACACATTCTCTAGTCAAATGTGATGAAGGACACCCGCAATGTAATGTATGCATTCTTCGCGCTTTAATCTCCACACACATTGACTTATACTTCTTGACAGCAATGTACACGTCTAGGCCATACTTGCGATTATCGCCCTCGGCTAGCCTTTCGCGATGATACCCCTCGTATCATGGGCCGCATGACCGATGTCAAGACAAATGGCCATGTTGTTTGGGATCGTAAGCACCTTGTTTTAGTTTTATTTTTCTTATTGGAAAAAAAGCGTCCCCCTTTTTTTCCCGTACTAACTAGACTAGTCACTTCGCCCAGTTCTAATGATGAGAAAACCGATTATTTCTCGTCCGGGGATTCACTCCCGCCCTTTTCCCTACTCACTTCGGACGAAGAGCGCGAAAAGAAAGCAGAGGCCTTTAGTCCCGGCACGTACCATGTCGTCATGACACCAGACAGTTTCTCCTCACTGCCAGAATATGCAGACGATGCAATTGAGAAAGCTAGATCAAATCTCAGCGAGTGTAGGAGCTCTACGGCTAATAGCCCTACGAGTGCAGCCAAGGGCGACTTCAGTACCAGAGGTGAAGATCCCAATGTGGTGATTTTGAAGACTTTTGAAGATGCTACGAGGCGCTCGCCGTCGAATGGAAAGATCTCGAGGATCTCACCAACATCGGAGATCTCGGATCCTTTCTGCAATCTGTCCCTCTCGCCAAATTTCACTTCGCTTCCTTCGCCCGATGTCAAGGTAGAGGAGATGACTTTCTTGGATCCGCGTCCTGATCAGCAAAGTCAGGATTCTACGATCTTTTCTCATTTCCGTCAGGTCGTATGGCGGCAGTTATTCCCTCATGATCACAGGCTTGATGATTCTTCTGGATCTGATAGTCATTTTATGACTCTTAACATGGACTTCCTAGAGCAGGAAGCCACTCGTTTCCCTCCTGTGGGTATTGCTATTCTTTGGTTCATGTCATGTCCGTGCTAACAAGAACCACAGCTTTCCCACGCTATGATGGCTGTATCAGCCCTTAGTCTCTCGCACAGCGGCACAGGTCACAATGTCGATGCGCTACAATATTATCAGCAAGCTTTCCCCTCGCTCCAAGTCAGTCTACGGAACAATGATGATCTTGTTTCCGACGGACTGTTCCTCACCCACTTCCTACTTCTAATCTACGAGGTAAGAGGTGCCAATTTCCAATTCTCATAGTCTATGTACTTATACCCCACAGATCGCGGCTGCCGAACCACACGGCTCGAACCTCTGGTCTCACCATATCTCCCGCCTCCTTCATATCGCCTTCCTTCGACGCGCCAAGTACGGCCAAGAACCCCACCCATTTATCCTCTGGTGGGTGTGCCACATTGACTTGTACGCCCTGTTCAGTGGAGCAGGGACGGGAGAGTTTGTACAAGCTGTCATCGACCACCAGATGCTCCCGGGCTCCGAATGTCTTCTCTACCCTTCTGCCCCAGAGGGCTACAGTGTGATTTACTCCGATGAGCATGAGAGCTTACCGGTGATTATGCGTCTATACCACGACACATTCCGGCTCGCCGCTCAACTTGGCTTCTTGGCTACTCGGCTTCGTCACGATAAACAGAACGTCCCCTTTGAAGAGTTCGATAAGAGGTCCCATGAATTAAGCGATCTGCGTGGGGCTTTCGGGAGCCTGTGGGAATCACCTGATGTCGCTTTCTTGCATCAACATCAGGATAACCTCCCGCGACGGTCTCGGGAACTTATGCAGCAGGTCGGTTCTTTCCGCTTTCATTGTTTCCGTCTATTCAAAATGAAAAGAAGGAAAAACGAGCTAACTCCTTATAGTCCGCTACACTATACCATGTTTGTCAACTCTTCTCTTACAGCAGCATGTGGCCCGGACAACGTGTCGAGTCGGGCTTCTCCCCAGACGGCGAAATCGACCATCACGTAACAGAGATCCTACGCTTAGCCGAGCGAACCACACACACTCGACGCGCTGATCGACACTTCCTCGTCTTCCCCTTATTCCTAGCAGGTGCCACGGCATCAGCTAGTGGATTGAAGATGATGGCAATGGAATTGATGACTAGCATGGAAGACGAGGAAGACGGCATGGGCCGCAACGCAGCAACGACTCGTGCCATCCTTCAAATTGTCTATGCGCGGCAGTTGGAGCGACTTATGCATGTGGGTCATACGTTGGATGTGGATTGGTCTAACCTGATGGCTCAGGAGGGACTTCAGATGGTCAATTTCGGGTTTTGATTGGATAGTGGAGTTCTCTTTTTTTTTTTTTCTTTTTTTCTCTTTTGGTTTTTGATAAGCATTGGCGCTTAATAGGGCATATTTGTATTTTTTTGGGACTAAGGTTGTATGTTAGCATGATTGACGATGGATATTGTATGTATAGAAATGGATAGGGATTTGATCTTGATCCATGGGAACTGCTCGGGCCGAGCCATTGGAATGTAAACGATCTACTACATCGCAATGTTCTACTAGCCCTTTAGTAACAATTCTGTTCATGTAGATCAGTTAAGTCTATGCTAATTCTTGCTAATGTGGAATACATATACCACTCATACCACTCATATCATTATATCATAGATAGAGAGACAGAGGTCCTGTAATTACTATAAAATATAGTACTCAGTTGTTACTAGGGGTACATCTAGTCACTAGATTGTAATACTACATAGTTAACACATAGTAACTAGTTACCTATAGTATATAGTATGCAGGCCCCAAGGCAGCAACTTGTGATGATTCTCGTCACCTGCGGGGTCGGCGTCTCGCCCTTGGCGGCTACAGAACAAATCTCCCTGAACTTCTTCACCTTTTCATTTTTTTCCTTTTTTCTTACTCCCGGACAATTTCTATGAATAGATGAAATAGCCCTGGAGTTTTTCCCGTCTCTGCCCCGCACCCCCAACGATCTTCGCGCTTATCTCCGTAATTGGGAGTACTTCGCATCCTCCTGTGGCTAAATTCTATCTTTCTGCAGCTTCAAGCCCAGCCGCAATTTCTCAAGACAACATGAGTAGTAGCAGTCGTGCCCTCCATCCGGAGGAGCTTTTCCTCAACGACCGCCCAGCAAGACAAGAATCACCCACCATCGGCCCTCTCCGTATCAACAAACGGGACTCGTCATCTCCAGCGTCGGCCGCGGGCTCCAGTCCCCCACCAAACGCCCCGCTACCGTACCCAGATGACCGTCAACGTCCCCAGATACGCACCTCAAGTTCAAACGAGCGATACCAAGACAACATTAGATACGGGTCTCCGCCAGCTGGTCCTGGCTCTGGCTCCGTGAGTCCAAATGAATACCCAACAGCGCTCCGGCCGCGGGACGGCCGCGAGCCCCGAGTCGCAACATTAGCCGAACGAAGAGGTGCAGCCCCAAAGCCACTACCCGAATCTCCTAGCTATGATGCGCCAGATCGCGAGGCCTTGGCCGCTAGACCGTACCCCCGACCCCCGGTCAGTCTACCACCCGGTCCACCAGAGCCACCAGCAAACACAAGTCAATACGATTACCGTCAACAATACTACCCGCCCCCGCAACGCCAAAGCTCTACCTCTGCTGCCCGTCCCCCATCAAGTCTACAACCCCAACAAGGCCCACTCAATCGCATCAGTTCCACATCGACAACCCGCGCCCAGCGTGGCTCGCCCCCGCCACCTGAGACTCCTATCATTGGGCCGGGGCAGCAGCCCGCCTCGGATATCGAGGCCCGATATGCTGCTGCTGGTATCGCGGGTACTGGGACCCTGCAGGGTATCCAGTCGCATAACGTCGCTGCGCAGAGACGAGCTGAGCAGTACTCTGGTCAGCAGCCGACTTTCCCACAACCGCAGCAGCAACAGCAACAGCAACAGCAGCCGCGCCCGTGGACTCCGACCGAGCAGCCCGGTTCGCAGCCTCATGGGCCTCCTACGGTTTACCAGGGTGATGAGGTTGTCAGTGATAATACTCAGCAGCCTGCTCCGCATCCTGGTCAATACGGTAGTCCGCCGCCCCAGACTCATCCTGGACAGTACGGTAGCCCAGCACCCCAAGCTCATCCCGGTCAATATAGCAGCCCGCCGCCTCAGGCTCATCCGGGCCAATACAGCAGTCCGGCACCCCAGGCTCATCCTGGTCAATATAACAGCCCGCCACCTCAGGCTCATCCTAGCCAGTACAGTGGATCCCCCTCCCAGATGCACCCTGCATCTGGACTACCGCAGCAAGAACAGCCAGGAAGAGTTCCCCCTAACCCCCTAGAACAAGATATGGACCGGTTGCGCCTTAGCTCCTCTCCTCCCCCCGCCTACTCAAGTGTATCTGGTCCTTCTGCTTCAAACGGGTATCCCAATGAAAAGCAAAGCGGTGCTGCGGCTGGTGTGGCAACAGCAGCAGCCGCTGGAGCTGGAGCTGCAATGATGCACCCGGCTTTAGTAAACCAACCCAATCCTGCTACAAAAGCGTCTTCCCCTGCACAGGCAGTATCGCCGCAGGACCATCCCGCTTTTGCGAATGACCAGAGACAGCAACAGCAACAGCAAACAGGGCAATCTCCACAGGCGTCTGTTGCTAATGACTTGTCCGGTTTCCATCATCAGACAATCCAGGTCACTTCTCCGGGACCCTCTGCTGGTGCAGGTCCGGCATCTCCACCACCTCTTCCAGAGGGGTGGATTGCTCACATGGATCCAAGCTCAGGACAGTATTACTACATCCACTTGCCCACACAGTCAACTCAGTGGGAGTTCCCAAAGGGACCTACGCCGCTAAATCTCAACGACACACCCTTGTCCCCGGTGGGAAGTGTGTATAGTGCCCACCCGCTAGTTTCTCCGGGTCTGTCGGCTTTCGGGAAGCCTCTCGCGTCGCCTGGTGTGCCTTTGACCCCTGGCTTTGAAAGCCTACAGTCTCCCATAGTGTCTGGATTCTCTGGTCCTCCCCCGAGTAGTGGCATGGATCTATACAAAAACACTCCAACCAACGGTGTCTACTTTGGCCCTTATCTGCGTTACACCAACATGGATCTGGAGCGTGGAGTCTGGATGGGATCTATTCTGCTTGTGACAGACGCCGCACAGCCACCCACGATTCACATGCACCAGAGTCTAGACCTGTCTCCAAACCCAAGACAATTGAAAGCAGTCAACATTGCCGCGCATCAACGCTGGACATTCTACAAGTATGAGATTGATCTGCAGATGGACGATGCGGGTCCTGCAAAATGGACCTATGCTATCACCTCACACCTTGGCTGCACTCGTTACGAGTTCCTTGTCGCTGGTCGACACGAGACTAATTGGCGGTTTATTGCTACCTCTGGAAATGACTTCTCGCTCAACGTCAATGCTGGTGAGCGCGCTCGTCTAGGTGGCGTCGGTTACATGTGGAAAGATATCATGCAAAAGCACAATGAAATCGGAGGTTTCCACGCCCAGTTATGTCTTGGTGGTCAGATCTATGCGGATCGCATGTGGAAAGAGATTCCATCTCTTAAGCAGTGGTTGACTATCAGCGGAAAAGAAGCTAGAAAGAACGCTCCTTGGACAGCGGCTAACCAGCAGGATGTTTCTTACGCATACTTCCATTACTACACCAGCCACTTCGATCAACCCCACATCAGGGAGTCATTTGCGCAGATTCCTTATGTCTGCCAGATTGATGATCATGACATGTGAGTCGCCCGTACAACAACAACGGTCAACGAGCAGTACTAATATATTCACAGCTTTGATGGATTCGGCTCCTATCCCGAGCACATGCAGTTCTCCAACATGTTCAAGAACATCGGTCGCATCGGCATCGAGATGTACCTCCTATTCCAGCATCACACAACCCTCGATATCCTCCGCAACGTCAGCAACGACACGGACCTCTTCACTATAACCGGCACAGGCTGGCACTTTGTCAAATACCTAGGTCCCGGCGTCGTCGTCGTCGGTCCAGATTGCCGCTCAGAAAGAAACCCACATCAGGTCATGGCCGGTCCCACGTACCAGGGTCTCTTCCCGAAGATTGCAATGCTACCACCTAGCGTGCAACACTGTCTCTGGATGGTCGCCGTGCCACTCATCTACCCCCGCCTAGAGACGGCAGAACATATCGTCCAAACCGTCGCAACAGGAAAGCGAGCCGTGACTGGCGCATACAACGTGCTCGGCAAGGTAACCAGCTCTGTAGCCGGAGTAGTCGGCGCCAAAGACTTCGTCGGCTCAGGCTTCGACTCTGTGAAGCGAGCCGTAGGTAAATCCGGGTTGATGGGCGGTATACTGAGTCCATTTGGCGAATTCAGCTCCATGGACGAGCTACGCGACCAATGGACACACGAGTCTAAGGTTCGTCTTCCCTCCCCCCGCCTAACTAACTTTCACCCTGTTCATTCATATCCATACTAACCCAAAACCAGGATCTCGAACGCACATACCTCATCCGCACACTCCAAGGCATAGCACACCAAAAATCAATCCGAATGACCTTCCTCTCCGGTGCCGTTAACGTCTGCGGCGCAGGACTCGTCCACGACCCCTCAAACCCCTCAGACCACAAGACAATGTACCAACTCATCGCCTCGTCCGTCGTCAACACCCCGCCGCCCTCGTACATCATCAAACTCCTCCACAGCCACAGCAAGCCCCTCTACATCCCCTCCAACGGCCACAGATCCTCCGGCCAGGTGAGCGATACCAAGGAAGATATGATGGAGATCTTCCAGACGGATGTCAACGGTCAGGCTCGTGAGTACCGGAAGCTCATGGCGCGCAGAAACTACGTTGCTATTGTGGCTTATGACCCTGAGGCGGTTAATCCTTCCTACGGACATATACCGTCCGGGGCTAATAAATTGAGTCTTGCAGCGGACTTTATGGTGCAGGGTGATGGGGCACTTGGGAATGTGGTTAAATTTGGGCCGGTTATTGTGCCAAGTTTGGATCATGGGAGATGATCGTGATGATTGTTTGTCCTTTGGTTGAGATATCTGTTTTTCTTTCTTGCACAACATTTTGAATGTCATTCCTTGATGGTTTGTTTGAATTGATGCTTTTTTTGGCGTGTTTGCATATCCGCTACTGCTACTCTTTTCTTCCCTGCTCCCCTAGCCTGTTTCATTATATTGAGACAATTACACTGCTGTTCGGACTTGATTATTGGCTTGGCTTGCAATTCCTTTGCAGTAACACTCTTAGAAATAGAATGATAGATATTATATCGAAAGAATATAACTTCTCGTAAAGCAAGGTACCTGATAATGTACAGCATGGGGTATCCAGGGTATATCAGTAGTAAATATGTCAGCCAACGCCAGCACCCAACCAAACTAGATAGATATACTCTATCCAGTTGGATCTCCCCCGGGAACACAAAGACCAATCCGCCAAAAGTAATCCCGATGAGCATAAAACAGTTCCCAAAGCCGATATCTCGCCGGTATAAGAGACCAGTCCCACCTGAGAAGCGATAATTTATTCTCACAATCGGCAATATCACGTCCCAAGACAGCCTGCTCCTCAGACACATCGTCACCACCATCACCACTCGACTGGCACCCCTCCCCACTAGAAGCAGAACCAGCCAACCCAACAGGAACATTCAAATCCCGATACAACTGCACCAAAACCCCCTCACCCCCCTCACCCGCAATACACCCAGGATCCTCCGCACCAGAACAATGAACCACATCCTCCCTCCGCGGCGGCAACTCCTCTTTCGTAATAAAAACCTCCCCAGAATGAGGCCGATATCCCCACTCAGCAAGCGGCAACATAGGAACCGGATCCCGGATATGCGTGACACGACGGAATCGCTGACCCCCCTCTAGTGGTGGGATCGATATCCCATCCCCGAGTCCGAACTGTTCGTCGAGGAATGCCGCGAACGCCGCGTTCCCGATCATCGGTTCCCCGAATGTCGTCACCGTTGCATCCCAGCCCTTCAGACGCATCTCTAGCCCGGCTAGCGCTGCGACTGCACCGCCGAGGGAATGGCCGACTAGTGTTATAGAGTAATCTGGGTATTTTTGGCGTAGGACGGACATGGCGGGGAGGATTTCTGTTCGGGTGTGGAGCCATGAGCGCATGAAGCCTGCGTGGACGGTGCAGTTTTTGCAGTGCGGACCTGCGGGGATGGGGATTGTGGTTGTGGTGTTTTCGTCCGGGTCTGGGTAGGGGATGTAGGCTTGGGGATAGGCGGAGAGGTCGATTATTGCGTTAGTTATTGAGTAAGTGCCGCGGAAGGCGAGGATGATTTGTTTAGCGGTCGGGGTGTGGGAGAGGGCTATGTAGCCGCATGAGTCGGAGAGGAGGACGCCTGTGTTCCAGGTCTGCGGGGTGGGTTGGGTTTGGTTAGTGGGGGTGTGTCTTGTGGAGATGAGGGCTTGTAGGTGACTCACGGTTACTAGCTCTAGATCGGGGAACTCGATACAGCGGCTGAGGCACTGGAATGGCTGCTGTACTCCTGTTGTTCCGACGCAGTATGAAATATCCACTAGCCGGGATAACTCTTCCAGGGAGTTAAATAGGTCGGTTGATACATGTTTCTTGGTCTGGGCTGTGGTGAAGCTCAGGAAGCAGATGTATAGTAGCAGAAGAAACAAAATGCTAGCCATAATGTAACATACTGATTTATGTAGGAGAGAGGGTATAAGTGCATCTTTAAAGGAAGACAACAAGACCTTGTGATGCGGAGATGTGACTGAGAATCCGGGGTAACCCCATTATGTCATCGACTTCCTCATTGGTCGATTTACGTCGATCTTGGGAAGGTACTAACCGAGTATGTACATAGGTCTACAACTACAACTACAACATACGAGAATGCAATAACCTTGTAATCTAAATGGTCACGAGGGACTAGAACGTACTCGAATAAATTTATCCAATGCTATATGCATGCTGACCATGGACTAAGGCCTGCATTGAAAGGTAATTCAAATCACGCGGTCCAAATGACAACACGACCGTCGATACCGCTCGCTATGACAATATGTTAGTTTCTGGTGGGTCAAAAGTTTTCAGAAAGGCGATCTTACTGCTGAAGGAGCTCACAGCACCGTTGGCTTCTTCGTGGGCCCGGATGGTGTGCACAGTGTTCTGGTGGGTAGACTTGAGCTTGGTGTCCGCCTGGGCCTGGCCCTTGAGATCCATCTGCCGGAACATGTTCAAAGCGGACTCCTCGCGCGCACCCCCGGCTTCACCAGCCTTTTTCTCCAGAGAGCCGGCAAGTTGCCATCCATTCTCATCGCCGTGGAAACGGAAGGGCTCACAGTCCTAGGTACGGTTAGCACAAGCCGTTGTATTTCTAAAAAAAATAAAGAACTTACATGTCCAGCTGCAATAATCTCAGTCTCGCCGTTCCAGATAAGGCTGTTGAGAGGAAGCAAACGGGTAGCGATATTCAACATCGCGCGCGGGGGCTGTTCCGGAGCACTGGGGTACACGACAGTCACACTGCTATCGTGTCCAGTGAAGGCGAGCGCGTTACCACTAGGAGAGAAAGCAACACCCTGAATCCAACCGGCAGTATCATTCAGGTATTCGCCACAGATAGTGTTGAAAGGAAGGCGCTCTCCCCACGCACTAGGTTCCGGGCGGGTATCAACACCCTTGATGAAGCTCGAGAAGACTCGGGCATGAGAGTCAGTCGATCCGGCTGCCAGCAGGACGGAGTTCGGGTGCCAGGCCAGGGTTGTAATAGTACTGCGAATAGGCTTCTTGAGGTGCTTCGAGATCCACCAGTCGTTCTCCTCCTCAAAGTAGCAGACTGCGATCACTCGAGCGCCGGAGCCGACGGCGAACTTCTGCTCCGATGGAGACCAGCGCACAAAAGTCGCGGCACGGTTGATTCGGAGAAGTACCAGAGTGGGTTTCCATCCGGTGGGGGTTTGCTCCCAAACGTAGGCATTGCGGTCTATAGAGTGAACACCTGTTAGGTACTGTATATGGTATATAGCAAAAAAGGAGCTTCGCTAAAACATACCCTGCGAGCAAGTGACAATTCGGCCACTGTTGGGGGCAATATCAACACTGGTGACGGTCTTCTCGTGGCCCTTGAGCTCGTCGCTCAACGTAAACTTGTTGCCTGATTGTTGATAGAGCTCCACATTGTTCTCCCGAGCGACAGCGAGTGTCTTCCTGTCGGAGGAGAATGAGTGGTCTGCAATTGGTGCATGGAAGAGATGGTGAACTTGGGGGGCGGCCATATTGGATATAATAACGACAGGAGGGTCTCTCTACCGTCGTGCTTGTGTACTTAGTTGTAGTTGCGGGACCAGGAGGGGAGCTGGGTGATGACGGTGGCGCTTAGTAAGGGGACGCATCACATGACCCAAAGCTACTTTTATGTCGAGGTTTTGAGTGGCCATGGACACAGCACGCGATTGAGCTTCACTTCCCCATACGCTATCCCATTTACTCCTTCAATCAGACGACAGCTTGTTTAACATTTCTAATCATCTGAGAAATGGCTTCAAAATCATTGCCTGCCCGTGGAGGCCCTGACAGCAAGGCCGTTGCTACCGGCGCTCCTAACCAGACGTGAGCTTGCCCTTCTAAGTACAAGAGACTGTCGCGCATTGACGCTAACAATTCTTAGACTCTACTGCACAAATTTGCCCGACAGAAGAATTCAGAAAAATGACCTCCGGACGGCACTCTATGCCCTGTTCTCCACATACGGCACCGTTCTCGACGTTGTGACCATGAAGACCGCCAAAATGCGAGGCCAGGCCCATATAGTGTTCAAGGATGTCCAAGCTAGTACACAGGCACTGCGGGCTTTACAAGGATTCGAATTCTTTGGGAAACAGATGGTGTGTAGTCAATGTCCCTCCATCGGCCCAACCCCCCACTCATTCAATTGATGTCTAGAGAATCGTTTACGCCAAAGGATCGTCAAATGTCATTTCCAAACTTCGCGGTACATATGTTGCGCCAGTTGAAGCTGCGCCAGCTCCAGTCACAACCGACCTCCAAAAGTCTATCTTCGGTGCTCCTCCGGGCGCACTCCCTGCACGACCCACGACCGATGTCAATGGAGAGGCTCATGGCTTGAAGCGACCGCGTGAAGAGGAAAGTGACAACGAAGAGGCCCCAATGGATGAGGATAGCGATGTGCCTATGGAAGCTTCCTCCGATGAGGAGTAATCTAACTGAGTGGGGCCCTGCTGGGGGCTGAGAGAGACTTGAAGTCCTCACTTTGCATTTGATTTTTTTTTTATTATTCCCCAGCGTTTCCAGCATATGCAAGAGTATTGGCTGGTACTGTGCTAAGCGAAAAGCTCGCGTGGGACGTGCAGGTTCACGCAATGACCTACAAGGCCGAGCCAGATGAGGAGATATGATCCAGGAGTGACGCTCTGTGCGTCTGCAATGTTCGCCATCGCGTCCGCGGTGTTGCATGGGTGGACAAAAAAGGCCGGGGCGCCAGAGTCAGGATGGTACTACAAGAAAAAAACAAAACAAAAAGAAGATATGAGCTCTTGTCACGAGGTTCGGAGAATGCACCTACACCCATACTAATCCCACCCATTACACCCACACTCTTCAATTCTTGCCTGTACCGTTCCGGCACGACATACTGGTAGACTTCGTCTAGTCCGAGTGGACCGTGGTTGTCCCACCTGAGGCCGAAGTACAAGGTGGGGACCTGATATGTGGGGGACAACAAGATGTCATAATCGATCTGTAAGCTGGGTTGGGGTTTGGTGCGAACGAGAGCTTCCTGCGGTGAAGAGTTAGGACAAGTGGACACGTCCCTTGGGGCTAGAACTCTGCAGACCGGATCCTCATCCTGTGAAGTTTCAAGGTCCTCCAGTGCTGGGACTTCTAGCGGGCTGGGGGCATCAACATATTTTGTTATTCTGAGGCCGGTTCCATCTGGCTAATTCCATTCAAATATTTTCCCATCAGTTCTTCATTCAATACATTAAAGAAGGAACCCGATAAGGTTTCATGGTTCATGCATAAATAAAGGGATACCTTTGTGAGCAGTCGAATGGACCAGCCAATATTTTGGGCTGAAGTGCATCGATCGGCAAGATCTTGACATGCACCCTCAAACTCCGACTGTGCCAAGAAGGGAAAAGTAGAGCAAGAGGCAGCCATGCGGCTGGAGCCTGGGGAGATGTCAACTACTCCGTGCGAAGTACCAGTGTCCCCGGATGCAGACGCTCAGTTGTGAATGCGGTGTGGCCAGGGTATGAGGGGGAGGTTTCGCAAGAGTAAGAGCACTTGACCTTGTCACTGTATGTCAAATCAGAGACATAGGATATAAATCCACTGATGGTTAATAAAAAAAGGAAAAAATAAGAGAGAGAAAAAAAGCAAAGGATGATCGCGGTGGACCGGATATAGAAAGGAAAGAAAGGAAACAATGGAGTTGTCAAGAATACTACATGTGCTAACAGGTATCTGATACTTAAATTATGTCGGATAATAACATATTAAATTTAAGTACTCGATACCCCTCTCTCCGGTTGCGGCAGAAGGAGGCGGTACCTTTTTTTTCCCCTGTGCCACGTAGAGATGTCTTCCTCCTCTGCATGCAGCACTTCATCTGATGCTCATGCGCGTATAGGAACCCTTTGTGGCGAAAAGGAATGATTGCGTCTTCTTTTGTTTCTAGCGTTTAGTTGCATATACACTTCGTTTATCGGATTCTCACTCCACTTATGTATCGTATGTTCCCCCTTCCCTGACACTATCCACCACCAATTCCTGCTGTGATTCTTCTTTTTTGTTACTTTTTTTTATATTTTATTTCATTTTGCAAATTGTCTATAATCTTAATGTCGATCCGATCGTGTATTTGTCGATCTTGATCTACCCCTGGTCTACCAACCTCCCCGTGAACCCAGATCACCGAGATCGTGAAATTCTAAAATCATCAAATCCTGCGTTGGGAAGAAGGGGACTCCCTGACTTCCAAGATTGGCTTTTTTGAGGTTACCTCAATCCTCGTCTTCCATCTCTCCAGTCCAACCAATTCCTGTATCGCACCCAATCTGAAACACAGACCCCCCCAATCATCTCCGGGATTGTTGGGGAACCCAGAGCCGCCAATCGTACGCTCAATTCCAAACCCAGCGGTTGCACGAGCTTGGCTCGGATTGCGTCCTCTGTGGGCAATCAGGGCGTGGTTTGACGTCAGTCCGGGGGCTGCGATCTAATCTGAAAAGCTCTATCGGGACAAGCTTGGAAATTCCACTAGGTCAACCCATCGTCGTGCGGGGGAACAGTGGTCGCCAAGTTATTTTAATTGTATATCATTCTGGCCGTCCCTGCTGCACATGCCCAGTTGTATCTGGCCAGAGCAGATCTCAATCTACCTGCATTGTATCTAGTGCTTCTAAAGTCATGGGCAACTCCCTATCGAGCAAAGCCAAAGACGAGACCCACCGCTCCAACCGCCTTTCAAAGCCCCTGACGAAGAAGTTCAATGTCAGCCAAAGTGCTCCACGCCTCGAAACAGACCCTTCAACGATCACTTCAGGGCTGATAGGGTGGCAAAACCCCTGGGTTAGCGACACTATCTCCAGTCCTCCTGTGGAGAAAAGGGGCAGTTATTCCAAAAAGGCAGAGATCCCACCTACCCTTTTTGAAACAGAGTCGCCTGAAGAGACCCCGACTGGGGATCGAACTTTTGGATATGAACATAGTCCCACGAAGCGTCATCCAATCCGCCCAAGCCTGTTGAGCGCAACCTCTTCGAGAAGAACATCGTACCAGTCGGAAACTTGGGAAACAACCTCCCAATCTTCGCCTCTCTATGAGCAGCCACCAAGGCGGGCCAGTTCGACTCGAATCCCCCTACAGAGACACAACAGCGCTGTCTATGAAACCCACATCGGGGATGCGACCTCTTCCAACACCCACTTCTTGGTTGGCAACCAGCGGTTCTCATTAACACGTCGACGATCGCTTCTGACACGACCTGGGATTGCCACAAGACGAACCACAGGCGCAATCCGGCGCGTCCCATCGCCCATTGGAGAGCCCGAGAACCCCATCGAGGATCCGACTGAGTCGACCGTATTGCAATGGCCATTGCGATCGACCCAGAGACCGCTGCATCTGCCATCCCCAGTGCGGCCGACGAGTCCGATGGATGCCCGGTATACTCAGCTCGGGGCACTCAAATTGGGGTCTTTGCGAGTGGTAAATGGCTCGGCCTCCCCATGTCCGAGCGAACGCATTCCTTTGGAGGGGTCCTGCGCTCCAAGTTCTGGCCTTGGTCTTGAGAACATAGAAGTCATTGGGCCTAGCAGGGGGTCGACGCTGGATATTCCATCCTTGTCCGACTCAAAGAAAACGGACGATGTTCCAGGCAGTCCATTCTCTTTCGAAAAGTCTCCAACCATCACAGTCCAGCCTCGGGCAAAATCATTGTTTCCCGGGGATCCAGAAGATGAAGGAATTGTCCTTTGTGACGATACAAGGATCCAGTTGGAGAAAGGTGTTTTGGACGCTGGTATTTCCCGGAGCACGTCTCAATCCCTTAACAAGTCCGACAGTGGCTACAGCTCCGCCACCTCAGTCCACTCCATACGGCGCAGCCGGACTCAGAGATCTGCTGGCTCACAGATGTCTGGCTCATGTGGCGCAGACAGCTCAAAGAACGTTTGTATCCTGAAAGACTCGGCTTCAGGTCGATCTGGCGATAAAGTGCTGCGTCCCCTGAGCCTGCAGGCACAACCGGATAACTACTCAAGGTTGCATCCAGCCGCTGCTCGCTGGTACGATTCGAGCGACCCAACTCCCATCGCTCCATCGCGATCGCGTCGGTCAACGTTGTGTGCGCCCCGATACACGGAATATTCTTCGCCGCGCGAATCCGTCTTCGAAGTCAAGTCTACCGCCATGGTCTCTATTCCACACCAGAGTCAACAGGGCTTTACCAGGGGACCTTTCTATGCAGATCCATTGTCCTCGGGCTCGTTTGATCTTGTGTCTATTACGGGGTCTACCACAAGTGGAGAATCAACTGCTGGAACCAAGGAGCGACTTCGCAGATCGGTCTCTGAGTACCAAATGCATGCAGAGTATAATAATACACAACTCTCTCGATCCAGAAGCCGACTGGGAAGTCGCCTCTGGAGCAAGAAACCAGGCGTTGAAGTTCCTCCGCTGCCCACTATCACGTCCCCAGGTTATTTGCAAGATAACCTTGACCTTGATGCTGAGTTAGCTTCCTCCGAGCCGATGCGAGGCCGGTCTCGAAGCCGAACCAATGACTACCACCATTGTCGGTTGACGAAAGTCCCCCACCAGACGGATTTGTGCATATAATGGCTTCTTCCTTTTATCTCTTCTTTTTTTTTTGGGGGTTATTGACATTTTCGTAATGATTTTATTGACTATTCTGTCTTGGCTGGTATTTTGATTTTGATCTTCTCTCGTCTGTCTATGGCGTCTACAAAAGTTCATTATGGAGTTGTTTTGCCTCCTTTTGTTGGGATTTGGTGGGAGTTTAGGACACATTTTGGATATGGAGTCTTATTAGGTATACCCTTTTTGGAATTGGAAATGGACCTGGTGCGAATCATATCTGACATTTGTACACAAATCCATGAATTCGGTATGCCATCGTGAGATGCGATCTTAGGCTTTCCTTGGCCACTTAGTCTAGTCCCCGAAATGCATGTCTCCGATGGGATACGATCTCAGACTTCGGCTATCTTGCCTTGCTATGCATATTCCTCACCGTGTGGCTGGTTCACTGGTTCAGAGCTTTCCTGGCCATTCATATCTACGAAGTATGGTTATCCAGCCAAGCAAGGGGCTTTTAGTTTAGCATTGCAGGTGCAGGGCCAACGTACTTGAGTTCTCTACGACCTACCAACTAGCGCAGGTGCATATTACATGTCTACAGACGGGATATTAATGTAATAAACAATCAATTTAGATTAAATATCATAACAAATTCAGATCATAGAAGTACAAATTCAGCAATGTAAGGAAGGAAACGCTACCCGGAGATCCCAATGCAATCAAATATATCGAGTCCATGGATTCAAACCCAATAACACTCATAAAGTTGATTTCAAATCATAGGATGCGAATCTTCTTCGGCGTAGGAACCGCCTCTTTCGGTACAACGACAGACAAAACACCATTCTTCAGACTCGCGCGGACATTATCCTGATCAACACGTGCGGTGAAGCTAAAAGTGCGCTGGAAATCACCGATCGACCTCTCCTTGGCCCAAAAATGAGGCTGGTCATCCCCAGCGGGTTTCGAAGGAGCATTAGAAGCAGCGGTGTCAGCTGAGCTAGTCGATTCTGCGTCCTCGTCTTCAACGGTGGCTTGGTGCCAGCCTGCAGGAGATGCGCTGCGGCTTGAGCTGGCACCGTCATTGTTGCTGTCGTCATTAATGGAGTCACGGTCTGTGTGGCCCTTGATCACGAGTGTGTGTGGATCGGTGAATTCGATCTCGATGTTGCTCTGGTCCACACCTGGGAGCTCGCCGTCGAGGTGGTAGGCATGGGTCAACTCGCGCACGTCAAATGCGGGTGCGAAGGAGGGGCTGCGTGCTTGGAGCTTGGAGCACTTGTAGGACTTAGGGTATTGGCGAGAGTTGTATTGGTTTTGAGCCTCGTAGTTGTTGAGGAGGAAGAGTGGCGAAAGGCCGGATTGGGAGAAGAAGGCCATTGTTTGGGATTTTTTTTTGAGATGTTTGGATTGAAGAAGATTGGAAGATAGATAGATGAGTATCTGAGAGGCTGTGAAGATTGTGTTCTGATTTAATTGTGTTGGAATATCTGCCATTTTATATCTGTGGTTTTGGGTGTACCTGAGGCTCATTGCTTATACTCCGGCGGAAGCATCCAGAAACTAGTGGCGCAGTCGACAAGCCGCCAGCAACTTCAAGGAACAACCACTTCATTCCATACGTACATACATACATAATTCTAATAGTCTAACGACTCTGACAAATTCATTTTCTATACAATATGAATAATGTGCGATTGGTAATTATTTTTGTACCTCGAAACTTCTAAAAGCTTTACAATGAGTCAACATCGAACAGTGGTACGGTTAACGAGTGGCAGAACACTCCATGACAAAGCTCTAATGACTCAACATGGATTCTATGATATACTATGATATACTAATATACAAGATGCCTCCAAAACCAGGCTTCGATCACATCATACATAGCCATTCCTTTTGCGTAACATGGTCAACATGTTGCGAGAATCCGTCCTAGGTAGAGCCCGCGACGCTGGAAATCTCCGATTCTATTTCAATGAGCGAACTGGTAAATATATGAGGCTGCAAGGCGAGACGTACAAACTAGCCGTGTAGGCGCCCCGTAGAAGTAAGATTCTGGGGTCTGGCGCCGTCCGCTCATCGGATATTGCGGATTCCCGGGGAAGAGTACAACTCGAGCTGTCGATTGCCTTTGCGCAAGAGATATTCAACGGTGCTAAAGTCCTTCTTATTCACCGAAAGGTGTTTTTGGAACTCTGCGCTGTATCCCATCTTAGCCGGATTGCACCGATATCTAGGGGGAATGCCATCGGGAAAGGAAAAAGGGCAGAGAAGCAAAGGATAAGGAGAAAGGTAGATAGGCAAATAGGCAATTGATAGAGCCTTACCGGGCATATTTCTTGAAATTGATCCTGGAGTCCTACAATAGAATAAGGTATCAGCTGAGGTTGACATGGGATGAGATGATAGAACCCACCTCGGGCTTATTTCGGATTTCCCGTAGGCATTTTCGGTATAGAGACAGAACGTCCCTCTGTAGGCCGGAGAGCCTAGCCATTGCGAATCTCAATATGAAGAGGGGGAAAGACTGCGAATCATTGGGTGGAGCTGAGTATGTTTCCCGCTCTGGGGAAAAAGAGCGTCTTTCCCGGCCGAGTGCTCAGATATCACCCCCGTCTCTAATTCCCCTCGAACTTCCCAACTTCCCCATATTCCATATTTCGCGATGTCTACCTTTACTGTGAGTGTGAAAATTGTTCCCTATCATTTTAAGAGAAACAAAAAAGACGAAGGAAAAAAATCCATTAGATCAATTACGTGATCGGAAGTACTCATTACATCAACATATACTGATTTCCTGAATAGCACCTCATCCGCTTCCTGGCTAAGGATGGCCAAATCTACTATGGCGATGCTATCCTTCCATCCGGAGTGAGCGATATCGCCAAAGCCACCAAGGCCAGAGTCATCCAGGGTGACATCTTCGGCCAGCACCGGATTACCGAGCAGGTCGCAGATGTGAGAATGCTCCTCGCACCCCTGGCCCGTAAGGATATTGGCACAGTCCGATGCCTGGGTCTCAACTATGAGCAACACGCCAAAGAGTCAAATATGCCAATTCCAACATATCCGATCTTATTCTACAAGCCCGTCACTTCAATTTCTGGACCCGTAGACGATATCCCCGTGGCCCAACTTGCCCAAGAGGGCGAGGGTCTGGATTACGAGTGTGAACTGGTCGCCATTATCGGCAAAGAGGCTACTAATGTCCCCGAAAGCAAGGCTCTAGACTATGTCCTAGGTTATGCTGTCGGCAATGATGTTTCCCACCGCGATTGGCAGATCAAGCTGGGCGGTGGTCAATGGTCATTGGGTAAGGGCTTCGATGGCTGGGCACCGTTTGGTCCGGGCATTGTTTCTTCTAGTGTGATTTCGGATCCGAATAATTTGGCTATCTCGACCAAGTTGAATGGGCAGACTGTTCAGTCTTCCTCAACTAAGGATATGATCTTCGGCGTGGCTAAGACGATAGCTTTCCTGTCTCAGGGAACTACGCTCTTACCTGGTGATCTAATCTTCACTGGAACGTGAGTACACCTTGATGAGCTGGCAAATGGATGTTTAGGATTTGATAGACTGACTACTTGATAGACCCCAAGGCGTGGGCATGGGCCGCAAGCCTCAGGTGTGGCTGAAGGATGGTGATGAAGTCGAGGTTGCGCTGGAGAGTGTCGGGTCCTGTGTCAACCGGGTGGTCTTTGACAAGCCTAGCGCCAAGCTCTAAATTATTTCTTTTGAACTTGCTTTGAAACCAATGAAATGGTTGGTACTGGTTCAAGTTGTATATAGCTACCTGTACGTTTCAGTCTTTGCAATTGATCATTTTGGTTATTAGGACCCAAAAATTATCTCCGAATCCGTAATTCCGTGTGCATTACATGTAAAAGAAAAACATAAGTTAAGATCTAAGCAGTCTGGGCGCCGTATCCCCTGATTCTCTCGGCAAAGGCCCAGCTCTGACCCTGAATCTGCTCATCCTCCTTCAGCTCAATACCGTCCTTCGTGATCACGGCTATCGAGTACTTGTCGGTACTTCGTGCATCGCGGTAGAACAGAACCTTCAAGCACTCCTTCAAAGCCTCGATGGCGTCTTCCTTGCTGACTTGTTCGAGGGGGGTACCCTCGGGGAACTTGCGGCGCAGGATCGGAACCGCAAGATGAGCACCAAAGCCTGTAGCCAGATGAGGGGCAGAAAATGTCGTTCCGAGCAAATCTGCGGAGCTAAGGAAGGGCTCTCCTTCCGCATCGAAACCCGCGACAAGGACGTGGTTCCACAGCGGGTTGAACTCGGAGCGTCGTTTGTAGAAAACCTTCGCAAGGTAGGTGTGCAGGTTCTTGGCGTTGAGCATGTTGCCGTGAGGCGAGTAGTTTTCCTTGATATCCATGGAGTCGAGGAGACGGTCGAGATATTGCATGTCGGAAACGTCACCGCCAAAGCCAACAATTGCCTTATCGCCGAATTTCCGCAGACGCTTCACGTCGGAGAAACGAGCCAGGGATCCGTAGGAGGCTGTATATTCACAAAATCATATCATGTCAGATGGCAATGCAGCGAAGGAAATGGAACGTGACAATGGAATGGCATACCCAAGTTGTCGGTAGCTATAACGACTCCACCATTAAACTTGACGCCCACCACTGATGTTCCCGTCACTGCAGGGGATGAGGTATGGGCCTTGGGACCCGTGGTCTGCAAATATGAGTGATCGTAGGCACCGTAGACATCGTTCCTGGGCTGAACGGATAGTTAGCAACAGAGCAAGGACTGGGAAAGTTGTGCCACCTACGCGACCCCAAGCTTCAGGGAAGTGGTTCATGATGAATGAAGATAAATGACAGATTCAAGGGGACTCGAAGAAAGGAGGTAAATTGCGGACAAGGAGGGAACAACAGATGGATAGTACAGTAAAATGATGACGATAGATGGGGAGCTACCTTAGGCAGTCGAGCTGACGGAGAGCTCGGCTGACTAAGTTCGCGGTCACGGCGGAGCCTACAACATAGGAGGGTTCATATATCAACTAGTGTACTATGCTATACGACTATCTTATGTATCCTTTAAAATGCAAACATTTAAAGGAATGGAAGTAAATAATTAGTTATACTACATTTATCTAGTTACTCCCGAGGTCTACACTTGTCCAACCTAATCTGGTGCTCGTATTCGCTTCCCAAGGGACTATCCCGCTTTGGTAGAATGCATCGCCTCACAAACTTATGGACCTTGTATAACAGATGACACTGTGCCCAGCAGTACCTCCCGCCATTTGACAATCTTTGCATATCCAGGCTTCATTCTGGGGAATTCAATGTCTTCTCCGGGTTCAAGTCGTGCTGGGTCAATGGCATCTGCGCCTCCCATTGACGACAATAGCCATTCACGCATGTATATTATCACCAACCGGCTCTTCCGCAGGCATTACGATATCAACTCGGCAGATGACCAGCCTCTGTTTTACGCCGAAATATCTATGTTCACCCCCAACAAGCCTGACCTAATCCTCCACGCTGGTACCAGCAGCAAGGCCCCAATTGTGGCTGTCTCTAAATTTCTGAAGTCGTGTGGTGATTACAAAATAGGTATTGGGAATCCCGAGGATGTGATCAACGTCCAGTGGGAGGATATGACCAGGGAACTCCTTCACAAACCTAAATACCGCTTCGAAATGAGAGTTCAATGCGCATCTGATCAAACTCAGAGCGAGAGGCGGTCATTCCTGTGGAAGCGAACGCGCACCATTGGCGTTGAAAATGCAGTACCGTCTAAATGGACTGGCCGGAACTATAAGCTCGTGGATGAGCGCACCGAGCAGGTTCTGGCCGCATTTTCAGGTGCAAGAAGACCGGGCAGAGTTGGTAAACTTCAAATCAGAGTGGAATACGGAGAGGACTTTGATCGAATGGTGTTGATTTCTTGTTTAACTCTGTGCGAGAAGGCGAGGCGGCGCAAACAGCGTTCATCAGGTGGCGGTGGAGGCTGAAACAAGTGTGATTGTTGCAATGTATGATCCACAAGTATGATAATATACACGAGTTCAAGTGTGCGCTATGTCAATTGAGATGGTATCAACGATCCTCTCTCCAGGGCTCTTTCTAGCGTCATCGGATATACCACCAGTATGTTTCTCCGTGAATGGCACATAGACTTTGAGTTTGATCGATAGAAGAGTGCCTCTTTCGGAATGATAGGATACCAGAACGTAAGCTCCCTTGTCGGGAAGGCAACTACTGCATCACTGAATCTGAATATTCGAAACATTTAGGTTATGTGCTGGAGCCACCTTTTCAGGTCATAATTTTGAATGCCCATATTTCCCGAAAGAGCTGATGCAGCCGAGGCCATTCGGCCTTGCCATCCGAGATCTGACATACTATGG